AGAACACACACTGGAATGAAAAATTTGGGATGAATTTCTAAAAGACCAAATTCAGAAATTGTTTGTTATACGCGTTAATAAGATGGGGGATGGGGAAACAAAGTGATCCCTCGGAAGCATTAATCGCAAAAAAATTATAAGAGAGTTGCAGACTCGGTTTGAATAAGTCAGTACATGAGGGATCATGCAACATCCCTCACGCCCTCTATCACAGTCAAAGCCGCTATAAGCTGCAGCAGCAATCGCAACTTGGGATTTGTGAGCTGGCGCAATGTCGTGCAGGAGAAGAACGCCTCGAGTCAATTTGCCCCTCCTTTTTCGCACGATTTCTTGACACAGACGTCTCAATTCGTCTGTACCGTTTATAATATGACCTTGATCATGATAGTCAATCATGATTATACCCTGACTATCCCAAAAACTTGAAGCCCGATCTTCCCTGCCGATGGTATTTCCACTGCATATTCTGGATCGAAGTGATAGACACATGTTTCATTCAAAGTTACGATCCGGTAGATGAAATCTGGTTCATCCTCGTGGCGAGACAAAATATATCTTGAAATACCAGGCCTGGTCCTTTCTATATGTCAGTCAACTGTCTGATGATCCATCTAGCGGAAATATCTGACATGCCATAGACATCAGTCAGAATTGCCTGAACTGAGCTTAAGTTTATACCCACTTCCCTAGCAATGTTTCGCAGGTCTCGCCTTATGTCGCACATGACCAGATCGTGCACAGCTACGATAGTTTCATCGTCGGTGGCCTCTTTGCTCTTTCTGCCCCTCTTAAAGTCAGCAGCCCATTTTTTCACAGTGCTATAGGAAGGGGACTCCTTCCCAGATGTATCCATGTATTGATGTATTTTCAAGGATTTCCTTGGGAGACATCCCTTTCTTACACATGTACTTAATGACGGCTCTGATTTCAACTTTCTCCATTTGGTCTAAATGACACAATCCTCTACAGTAACTGATCAAAGTGTGTTTTATCTTTCTAAATCTGTGATTTTCAATAATATATCGGTATCTACGTAGCATGTGTATATGTCAGTGTAGCGGCTAGAAGAATATCGGGCCGTCATACCTCTTATTCAAATAAACCATCTTCATGAAAAAGTTCCCTGCATCGATACCACTTAATCTTTGCCATGTAATGAAAACTGTGAATAATAAAATAAAAAAAAACTTAATATTACAAATCACTGATTGAAGGCACATAACGTTCAAAATATAGAAATTGCAAAACAAGTAATGGAAAGAGCATCGAAACACGAGGCTATCTGATTGTACGAGGGGTCGTAGCCCCGAGTATAAATCAGATTGCCGAGTGTTTTGATGTTCTTTCTCTTTTGTGTCATAGTCAAACATAAAAACACGTTCCCTGATACCACAAAATGAAACCCCACAAAAAAGTAACCAATGAACGAGCATCTGAATATGATATTTCCATCGCTATCCCTTTCTCTGACGTCACAATATGAAAACGTCGGACAAAATGAACCAATCAATGGGCATGCTCTGGAGTACGGGTAACTTATACCTGCACTCCAGTTAACGCACTGTGCATGTACATGTATACGATTTAACTCTGACAAATTTTCAACAGCAAAGTCCCCAAACTATGATACAACTATAATTAAAGGAGATATAACTGATATTTTTTAAGCTATATTGGGTATCTTTGTTTTAGTGCCAGATAAAAAAAAACAATGCTTTGTTTTATTCAGTGATATATCTATATCCATCTATCTCGCGTCCGTATGATGACTACTTGTGGCATTTAAAAAAAATATGCTGAAAGGTCAATTGTTCTATGTCACGAATATGTGTTAAAGGAATAAAAAGAAGGTTTATCGTCGGTTCAATTGACATATCGTTTCATCAGGTGATAAATCTTTCTCATGGCTTCGTATTTGAAATTTGTCATAGAAATATTTAGGTGATATGTTCATTTATCACTTATAGGTAAGCGTATTTCAAAAAGGAGCAAAATGTGATCTGTGTTTTGTAATTGTGGACATTTTTTACAGAACGTGAGTACACATCTTTCATGTAAGCAAATGAGTCATCAATCGCACTTTCATGAAAGTTACATTATTTTCTGCATTCATTTCCAAAAAAAACCCTCATTTTTTTAATTTAAAAAAAAATGCTGATTTTGTTTATGAATTTGTCCGGAAATTCATTAGAATTGTACGATATTTCAATAACAAAATGACAAAAATCAACAGAACATGTCTTAGCACAGTTATGGCGATCATTTGTTATATGGATAAATACATTTTGTTTGGAATTTTAATTTTGATGAAAATAGAAACAACAAGATTATGAATCGCCCACTCGATGAAAATGCAAGAAAAGAGGACTACAAGATGTTCTACGGCTTTGGGCATTGTTCTTCCGGAGCAGAAGATTTCAACTACACAAGTCGTACTCAAATTAGAAGAGATCATTTAGGCAATGCTACATACAAAATGTCTAACTTTACAAGTATAAAAATAAATAAGTTGCTCCCTGGGCGGCGTCAATTCTGATACAAAGGGATGATGAGAGGAAAACAATGGAAATACTCTATGCTAATTATCTAAACTCTGAGCATTGTAGTTTCTCAGGAGAAGTCTTTGAAAATGTTTTGCTTTACAAGTTTATATAAATTAAATGACTCATGTGGAAGGATCAATTTTGAGTTTGGGAGCATGCATGATGTGTATAACTTTTGTAGAAGACCTGATGCTACATATCAAATATATAAGCTCAGAGTATTGTAGGTTCTCAAGAAAAAAATGGAGAAAGAGTGATTCCTTGGAAATATTAACACAACAACATAATATGAAACTTGCCGTTGAAAGTGTTGAAAATTAAGTACCGCTCTAGCCTATGCTGGAGGGGGGAGGGGAGGGGGCGTGAGGGATATTGCACATTTTGATTAACCCTCATTTACAGGTTCGATTCAACCAATCTGAGACTGCTATTTTCATATAAGTTTGGCGGATTTCTGCTTCCGAGGAATCACACTTTTTCCATTTTTTTCTACAGTATAACCTATAAAGGTTTACTTTAGGCAATGCTTCATGCCCAATATCTTATCTCTGAACATTGCAGTTTCGTAAAAGAAGACTTAAATGTACATTTTTTCCCCTGTAATAACCATTGTAATATAAATTACCCAAGAGTGGTGTCATTTCAAACATTAGAAACATAATTCATAAACTGTTGTGGGTGACGGTGCGTGTCAAATATCTTGGCATTTTAGTTTATGTGAAGATACTTTTTAAAGTTTTAATATTTAAAGGTATCATATGGGTCAGACTTTAGCGCGGTAAAATTAATTTAATATAAATGCGTTTAAAGGATTGTGAATACGGTATTTCTTGCATGTCAGACAGGATTATCTACCGTTTACACCGGTGCTAGAAAACCCTGTCTTACACCCCCATGTAAGACAAGTAAAATGGTTTCCTGCGGTGAACATTTTAATGATATTAAGATATTTCATTGGGGGGGGGGGTAAATAAACGTGTGTATCAGGAATATAGTTGACATTAATCGATCAATATAGAAGAAGGTCTTTGGAAACTGGTGACCGTTGAAGACCGGAGAAGGTCGAACATAAAACAATTATTTCTTTTTAAGAAAATGATTAAATAGGCCTACCATTTTATGAATAATTCCGAGCAAAAAGTAAATAAAGTAACACACAAGTTTACGCAGAAAATATCTCTATTTATGATGGCAGATGCCACTACGAATATTTTAATTTTGTAGATTTTCAGTTTAAACAATTTATTGTTTGTAAGATTTGAGATAGATATTAAAGAAACATTGTTAATCTTCAAACACATCATTCAAGTTTTTCCACCTTAAACGGTTAAAATAATTATAGAAAATTAGAAATATCACGTAATAATTTTTTTGTTCTCAATTAGGTATAATTCGGACTAATTCCCTACAGGTAAATCCGTAACGTACCGGCAAACGGTATTTAGCTGGGTTTTCGAAAAGGTCAATTAACCAATCATATACGGTTTACAGATCACATGCTCCTCCATGTATCGAAAAAAGGTCACGTGCTCCTCCATGCCTCAAAAGTTAAACGCGTACCAATACCCTGCGGTCTCCAGACCGCAGGGAACAAGTCGCGTGCGTTAAATAACGTCATTGCTGCGCGCCTTTTATGAATGAATTGCGTTCTTAGGATGACGTCACTTAACCGTTATGAATGAACTTGTACGTTCATACGCTAATATAAGAAAAAAGTGCGTAATGAGAATATCAGTTTTCGTAATTTCTGTTCTGAAAATAGTTTATATGTAATATGCAAGAAAAAGAATCAAACACCGGCTGTCGGTACAGACGGGAATATTTAGCTATCGGGTAACTGTTTAGCGGAAACTCGGCAGAGCCTCATTACCGCCGTAAACAGTCACCCTCGAGCTAGATATACCGGTCTGTACCGGCAGCCGGTGTAAGATTCGTATAAAGTTCTTATTGCCGGGACATTCATTTCTCTTATTTTTGGGGAAGACAAGGAGTTTGAAGATTTAAAACGTGCGGCACTTTAAGTTGTTAGGTTTCGTCTATACGTGAACATTTTACATTTTTGCTATAGTGAGATATTCTACTACACTACATTGCCGTGTTGTTACAATACAACGGGTCCGTTTTCTTGAATTTTTATAGAGGGAATTAAATGTTCAATGTATTATTCAAAAAACTGTGAGAACGGATTAAAAACCAGTAAAAAATGCAGGGAAGACCTGAAATCTTGGAATCTCATTGGCCATTCTTAGATCCGTATAATCAAATATAATTATGATCTTTCTTAAACGTATCAACGTCCTAATTATTGATTTTACTATAGGGGTAAAGGAAACAAACTTTCTAGCTCAAATTTATTAAATTTTTTTATTATTTCGAAGGCTTTAAAAACTGGATACTTTTTTCCATATTTTCGCAGAAAATTCATAGAGGACATCTGAGCAATTATAATAATCAGCTATGGGAAACTCTGCTCAAAAGCCGTCAGCTGTGGGAAATTCCGCTCAAAAGCTACCAGAGATTGAAGATATCATGGACGAGGTTTGACATTACAATGTATATACTTTCTGAGAAAGAATAAGTGAATGAATCAGTTTCAATCTAAATATAAAATCAAAATATTCTTTTTATTTTGTGTTCAAGTTCCTTTGTCAAATATTTTATGCAAGCATATTGCTATCAACAAGGGCAAATCAATAAATTTTTAACAGGTTTAACAAGCACTCGTTTTGGTAACTTGGTTTTCTGCTTTCTTCCTGCTTTTTGCCTATCAGACAAGATATACAAGTAATTGCAAATGCTTTCGAAAATTTCACTTGAATTCTTAAAGTACTTTCCATTTTATGGATGATTGATGTGGCTGAGATAACGCCAAATTTCATGGCTTCTTTTTCCAACTATTTCTATTATGAATAACTATATGTACTCTTAATTTAAAGTATTACTTATCGGTATTTAAATAAGCTAAGAAATGTCGATATGCGTGAACGCGTTTTTCAGGTTGAACTTTCAAGCACCGAGGTAGGATATCCAGTCCCAACAAGTCCCACCCCGTTGGACGATATTTTTGAGCGCAAAGAACGCTGGTTAACAGATACTTTTAATAATGGTAGCGATGACACAGAATTATTGAAGAGTTTAAACCTTATTACAATGGACCTGAACACGATGTCAGATGAATATGTCGACGATGATGCGACTGTTCGCCCACCTACTGCTATTACTGAAAAAAGATTGGCTTTCCCATTTGCTACGATTGACAATCATGCAAGGATGGTATTACTGTCTTCCATTCTTATTCCATTCTTATCAAGGATTGACTGTTCTTCTTGGTCTTCTATTCTTAAGACATTATTTTGAAAAACAAACATCACGATATGAAGTGTACAGCACACAAAGGATTGAAACTCATCTTTTAAAAAGAAAATTACTTGTTAGAAGTAGTTCATGAAATGAATTTTAAGTTATGTTTCCTGTCTCAGTAATTTATCAAAAGAACTCAAGTGAGGTTCAAAACCCTAAAATATGAACATCTTAAAAATATCAAGTGAAGCAATTAAGGAAAACAAAGAAATTGAAAAGGTAGATTTTGTGCTATTCTCAGCCTGATTTCTTTGAGAAGCATTGCAACACTTTTCAGTTCTGGACATTTTGCATAATAGAAATGATTTTTCTGCAAAAACGGGATGAGGAAAATACATTACAATTTGCTGACAAGCTATTTGTTCAAAGCTTCATCAATTGCCACACAAATCTCGGAAAAATCATTTTACTTAGTTATAGATTTGTTACAGAAATAATGAAACATACTGAAAGGTAGATACTGGTTACCTGGTTACAATATACCCAAGTTTGTAAACTGTTGAACCTTAATTAAGAATTATTGTTTTTCACTAGAAATTCGAACAGCAACTGCTGACTCCCTGTTATAACATACTTGTTCTAGATGTATTCAGTTTATTTGAAATTCGAACACACAAATTTATAAGATATTAAAACAGCTTTAACATAAAACATTGCATGAGTACAAATGCATAAGGATTTAGTTTTATTTTATACCATCGACAGGCTGATCCAAAGTTACTTGATTCCTTTGAAGATCTTATCGAGTATTTGACGAAGCCGTTGTTGCACGATCAATATATAAAAATAAAAACAGCAAGAGCCATACTTGTATGGCTGAGCCGACAGAACCTTGAGGAGAAGAATTATGGCAAAAAGGGCACAGACACACCACGAGGCTTAATCCAGTACCTAAAAGAGGAGAAAATGTCATACACTACATGTTACGCTATACTTTGCAGGTATGATTGAAGTTATTTGATCATGTTTAACGGTTTTTCGGGATCATTTATTAGAGTGTTTGTGGTATATTGGATTGATTACCGCTAAAACCGGTGCTTGGGGAGGGACGTGAATGAGATGAAGCACTAAACCACTAAACATTATATCTTAAAAACAGACTGAGGGATTTTCAACCTTTTGTTTGTTTTTGCTCTGGGTGGATCTAAAATATTCAGAATTTGTAAAAAAATCATTTTTGTGTACAAGTTTACCATTTGCATCTTTATTTTACAGATTTATGATTTAACTTCATATTCCATTTTTCGGGCAGTAATTTCAATATATTCATTTTGTAAAAGTTTATGATTTAATATTTGTTAACACTTTGTCATCATCTGAGAAGCTTGATTATCAAGTTTATGTTAAGAGAAAAGTTGACATGTCATGATAATATGTATACATGTATATTACGCCAATAGGTTAAAATGACGTGAAACAATTAATTCTGAAATGATTTTGTTTTACATGATTTTGATAATTGTCTAATTAACCGGCTGTTCAACAACAAAACACAGAAAATATGGAGGCCAAATCATCCAGTAATGTGATCAGAGTCTTACTCTATTTCCTGGTTATATCGATCAGAAGATTATAAAATAAAATATCGTAATTTTACAGAAAAGCTGGCCTGCAGTGTGCTGTTATAAAAGGGTATGTTAAGGGTATAACAAATGCTGGCGATGACGGCTCACAAATTCTTTCGTCTTGGAATGCTGTATATGGAGAAACAGGGTGGCAAATTGTCCAAGCCTACTGGACATGCAGGGCCATTTTTGGTTACAGCTCTGGGAAATGGACAAAAGTTGAAGAAGATGGAAAAACGATGTCAAAAAAGGGAAAAGCCTCCCCCGGAACAGAAAAGAATATTTTCGATGAGAGATATTTCATGCCTGATCCAGAGCAGTTCATTTACCAGTGTGCTGAAAACAAGGAATGGCAATTGTTTCCTCCATGTTCAATTGTATCATCTTATGCAAAGTTTGCAAAGAAACCTATTTTACACTTTTCTTTCTTTGATCTCGGGCTTCAGCTGATTAGTGAACAAAACTGTGTTTTAGAAACCAAAGATGGCTTCTGTAAAATTGAACTGAAAGCAAAACCAAGTAATGCTCACCTGATTACATTGAGTTACGAGCTGTATAGAAAAAAGGCCGATTTTGAATTAAATGGTGAAAAAGAGAATGGAATTGAAGGGGAAACAGACGATGAAGAAGATTTTGCTAGAATGGTTTTCAATACGAGAGCTGCTGAAGTATTCACGTTTGACATGAGGTTTCTCAGAAGCGGAATTTATAAATTGAATATAAGAGGCGGTCCACACACATCACATTATCAATCTTTATGCCAATTTAAAGTTGTGTGTAAGAAAGGAATGGTTGGTCGTGGCCTTTTACCTATTGATTGCGGTAAAATCGGATGGGGTCCAGGACCAACAGCAAAAGAAGCTGGCCTTCTATTACCATCTAAACCAAGTGGGCTCATATCCGTGAGTACAACTGATCGGAAGACAGACGTAAAATTTCAGCTGCGTGACATGACAGAAAAAAATATACTGCAGTTGTACATGGTGAAGTAAGTGGGCGTAGACAGAAACTAGACAATTCCGTGCAAGTTCAGAAAATTGAACACGCTCATCAGCTTATTGTCGACGTTTCCCTTCCAGATAACGGAGAATATGGTCTATCAATACAACACATGGATAAAAAGAAACAAGATAGTGAGTGGGAGAATGTCTGTCACTATCTTATATCAACATTGACCTATAAATACGAACATGTAAGTAAATGCTTTTTAAATGCATCTTTTTTTAGATTTTGATTATTGAAATCGTTTATTATGACAAATAAGTCATTCGATCTTGTGTTTAGATGATAATGTTTTATTCCCGAGATTTATTTGAAAAGAAACGCAAAAGTTTTACAATGCTAATCAAAGTTTTATGAAAACGGTAATTGCTTTCAGTCCACTAAGCATTCTTTACCATTGGTTCTTTGTGGCAAGTTGATGCAGACATATTGCATGCGCGCTATTTATTTGTTTTACTATTTTACAAGTTGCTCCATCATGTTTAGTAACGACTTTACTATGAGCTTACATTTTATTCTATTCATGGATGGATGCTTAAATCTGATTTGAAGAATTTTTGATTTTTGACTTTTTTCTGAACCTTTGAGACATACTCGTAGCTTTTGAAAATGTGAAAAATATATTTAGAAAGAGAACATGTCATAAGACATATAACAAGTATACTGAAGTAAATGTTGAATATCTTAATAATATCATTCATGGCCAACAAAATTTAATTGATTGTAATATGCTTTCATTACACTTTTTAGAAAGGCGATCATTTTACATTAATTCAAAATTCTGTTTAAGCTAAAATTATGCTGCATTTTCCATATGGAACTGTACTTACAGGCAAATGTGAAGCTTGCAAAAAAGTGTCTTAAAGACGTGACTGAAAAAGTTGTACAGCCAAGATATTGGAAGGAACAAATAAAGGAAATACAAAAGTGCATTGTTAAGTGTAAGAAAGAGAAGATACCCAACAGTGCTGATGAAATGATCTCAGCAAATACAATGCTTGTTTTTCTGACCTGCAAGGATAGTAAGGATAGTTTCAAGATTTCATTGCATGATACAAATTTAACCTCCAGTAAGGCCAAGCTTGCATCATTTTTATATGTGCCGTTCTTTAAGAATTCATTTTTTCTCTTCTATACATGTATACATTTTGCTAAAAAATTCTCCATAAAAGTGTGTCATGGACGGTTCCGTGATAAACACCATATGGACACATTTGCAGATATTTTAAAATTTCAAAAGTTTTAACAGTTCTTGCTCATTGATGAATTCTGCTTATACCGGTGCTAAGGTGCGTGGACAGAAGCTAGCAATTGCCACTACCGGTGCTAGGGGGCGCGGACAGAAGCTAGCAATTACCACTACCATAAAAAGGCTCTATAAAGTCGAGTCTGCAACATTTTCAATTTTGCCGTATGATGCCCTATAGGGATTAGGGTTTCCTCTATTTTAATCAGAAATGCCTTGCAAATGAAAAAAATATTCGAGTGTTTACGAGTTTTTTTGTTCATTTTCAGAACTAAGAGACTGCGGTCTTCGTAGAAATATTCACGTGATCGACAAAACGTTATCCATAGTGAGTATGTACAGGGATCAGGAAGCTTTGTCCGGAGAGCTGACCTTTGTAAAACAATTAAGGAATGACATCAAAGCTCTTGGAGGTTATGCTAGAATGGTTCCGACACTAGAAGATGCACACAAAGAAATCATAGCACTTAAGCACGCCCCAGAAGAGGTTTACAACACTTTCAAAGCACTTTTGGTTCACCTTGGAGAGTTTGGAGAGTCAAAATATAAAAATATGGTACTGTTATCTATTTATCTATTTGGCACCAACATTGGCACATTTTATTTGTAAATCTTAAATACATGTATATCGGAAATTAAGGATTGCTGTGTCCAAGTTAGAACACATTCCCGTCTTAAATAACAAAGTTTAGCCAATTATAGCAAATATCAAGAAATAGTTGACCTTGAAGATGAAAGTCATTTTTAAGTCAAGGTCAAGTTTTGTCTTGTCAACTTTAAATTTTGCCCAAAAGATTGTTGTGTGCAAGTATGAAGTCAATCAATTAAGATATAAAAAAATGCAACTTTAAATTTTCTTAACTGAAACGAGAACGACAACTTTACTATACAGCAATAGCTCAAAACTTTTCCTCGAAAAGTCGAAATCAAAATCAAGGAATAAAGGTCAATGTAATTTATGGGTCGAGGTCAAGTTCCTTACGATATGCGATTATACCTCATAAAAATTACTCCTGACAAGTTTAGAGAGTATAAAGCTTTATGTAATGAAATGTTTTGTTTTTATGTTGTTTTTTTTTCTAAATGGTCAAGGAATGCTGTTTCCATAATCTACATAGAATGTTCCTGTTATTTAACGCACATGAATAGTGTACGTAAACATAAAAGAATGTTGCGAACAAAACAGTATGCTGTTTTATATGTATTTTTGATAATGTTGATTTAACGCTTAAAATTGTATGTTTATTTAATTTTAGGACTGGGCTTCAATACAAACCAGAATGAAAAGAACTCATCATCCGGTTAAAGCAGTGTCAATTCTTAGTGAGATGACACAAATTGAAAAGCAGGACATTAATGAAGATCGTGTGCAAGAGGCGTCCAAAATCCTTCATAGGTACAACGAAGATCAGGTCAGGATGGTTAACACCGACGCTCACAGCTTTTATGTTTGGGTAAGTTATACGTATGAGTTGATTTAAATCTGTCTTACGGAAAATTCAAGCACTTAGTATATAGTAGAACGGATAAATAACATATTTTTTTCATATCTCAAGTAGACTAAAAAAACATTAAAGATTTTGAAACAAAAATTGTTGTAAAAGTTATACATATACATATGTCGAAAACAATTGGAAGCTATTCAATATTGGCATATTAAACGTTTTAAGATATACAATTAATGTACTACGTTAACGTTTGATATAAGTATATATTGATAATCGCTACACGGTCTCTCTTTTTGTCTCTTTGTAAATATAAAATAAAAATGTTTTCATTTCACGCAAAGTAGACATGTTATTTTTAAGTCCTACGCACAATATAAATATACAGTGTCATTAAAAGTCATTTTTGTGTCGTGTGTGTGGTGCGTGTGCGCGTGTTTGTGTGTGCGTGCGTGTGTGTATTGTTGTTGTTGTTGTTTTTTGTTGTTTTTTAGGTTTGTTTTTTTTAAAGAAAATACCAACTTTGCCTGTACTAGGGAACGCAGCTTCTCATACATAATTTATTTACTTTTTATTCATATCAGACATATTCTATAAAAATCTTTTATAGATTTCAATAATTTCTGTGCATAGCTTATCTTTGTGTAGGAAGGTCTAATTTACATTTCTATGCTTCACGGAAACAAATATGTACATGGCCAATAAAAATTATCTACTTTATGCATATATGTCTAATATAACTAAGAAATTGCAGGCAAGATTCAAATGCAATGAAGACATTCAAACATATATAATGATGTAAAACTATGGAACAGAATTAATGCATTTATTCTATCTTGCTTGATGACATTGGAACTTGCATTATGCTTAACTCCATCTTGCTTGATGACATTGGAACTTGCATTATGCTTGATTCCATCTTGCTTGATGACATTGGAACTTGCATTATGCTTAATTCCATCTGGCTACATGACATTAGAACTTGCATTATGATTGATTCCATCTTGCATTATGATATTTAAACGTTGCATTATTCTGGATTCCATTTTTCATTATTTCATTCAAACATTTCGTAGTGACCAATTCTTTCATTGAGTGATAACTATTAAACTGGAACAAGCCATTTGGAATACTAAAATGTTAACGTCTTATACCTTTATGTATAAGCTACCTTTCTTCATGCTCTATACAAACCATTTACGGTTTAGTTTTTTTTTGTATTACTTTTATGTAGAAGTCATTTAAAATTGACTATTTTTTGTTCCCTGATGGATTTTGTTAAAATGGGACTTATTTGATTTACAGCTCGCATGGCGTGATTACTATTAGCTTTCGCTTATATTCATTATTCAGTGTTTATGCTTAATAAAGCTCGGTGTCTGAGGCTTTGTGGATTATGTTTGATCATCTTACATTATGATAAACAATTTAAACAATGTCTAGCGATTTGTGAACTGTTAAGGGGCGAGAACTCTGTTATCGATATCAACGGATTTTTTCCATGATTCGCCTATCATCGGAATTTTCCGTACATGTATATATTACGGAATACCGTTAGGGCCATCGTGGTTATACGTTAAAATACAGAGGGCGACAATGCTATCAATACGTACCAAGCGCTTATTACATAAATTGCAGTGGAAAGAATATAAATACAAGAAGTAAGGATTATGCAATATAATTTTATACATGTATATGTATACAGTCTAATAGAAAAAATATGCTCGTAAACAGTTATTCAATGGGGCAGTTATACGTACAGTGGCGGATTCAGGCCTTGGCTTAAGGGCTGCACCTACCCCCAAAGATACGTTGATGAGCTGGGATGGAATATATACGTGTAAGTTTCATGCAATAGTGGTCATAGTGTACTCCCTTATCAAAACATATAATGCTGTCATCCAGTTGTTAAGCACCTGCCTACGATTGCGAAGGTCTTTATCTAATGACTTGGACATTGAAAAGCAAAACTTATTAATTGGCCTTTTAACTTAATAAATGTCTCAGTCACTAATAGTGGCGAATAGGTATGTAACACATTAAAATATACATGTATAATAAGGAAAGAAGGAAGTTGTTTATTTTTGTGACATGTGCATAGTCAATTACAAATGTTGGGCAAATGTGTGTCTGATTATAGATCAGACATCCCGCACACACCACCACATTCACATACATTTGTGCTTAAAGATATACTATGCACATCTTTCAGTAATATATTTTTATCACAGAAATTTATTGAAATCTATAAAATTCTTACTAAATATGTTTTATTTAAATAAAAACACATACACATAATGTATAGAAATCTGCTTTCCTTATTACGGGTCAAGTAAAGTTATGCCTGTCTTTAAAAGAAACTTCCATATATATTTTTGTAATAACACTATACATGAATATTCATACTGCCCAATTACAGTGTAAAGTATTTAAAGCACAATGTTTGTGTGAAGCCAAATTATATTTATTTTATTCTATAAAAATAAATCAAGTTTGTACTGTACTAAGTCGTGGCCACGAGTTACTAAGTGACATGCGTGTGTTTTTATTTATCTCTTTAGTTATAGCCCTTTGTTGGGACAATTCTATGATAGAATTGGTCATTTTGTACGTACAAAGGCCTGTTAACATTGTTTATACCATAACTTGAGAGGAACTTAGTCCTGGTTTATTTTATTGGGAAGGGACATTGCCCATGAACAGTAGATATCCTATACGGATGTTTGAGGTCACAGGTCAGATAAACATGACACTTCATGCAAAATCCTTTTCTGATGAATGATTTAGAAAGAATAAGCCGTAGTTTATATAACCTAAAAAGATCTGTAGATGACACCTAATAATTTTTAGGCAATTTGGTCAGAAATCAGGGTCACAATGACGCTAAATCTTTGACCAATCAGTAACTTGTATAAATGGCACTTTTACGGACAAATGAAGTAGGGGCATCCTTGTTAGGAAAATTCATATAAATAGTGTAATTTGATTGGTTATTTATCTCGTTCGCACGACTTAACTTTTTCGTGGCCACGACTAAACTTTCTCGTGGCCACGACATAGTAACTTGTTCCAACGACTTATTTATCTCGTGGCCACGACTAAGTTATCTCGTTCCCACGACTTAATTACCTCGTGGCCACGATTTAGTAACTCGTGGTAACAACATAGTATCTCGTTCCCACGACTTAACTATCTCGTGGCCACGACTTAGTAACCCGTGGCCACGACACAGTATCTCGTGCGCACGAGATAAATAAAAACACACACACACATGTCACCTTCGTGCCACCTTAAGTTTGATAAAATTCAAGTTCACTTATCACACACGCTCAAAAAGAAGTGTAAACAATTGTATAAGAGGTGAGTTGCCACTTGTAGGATGAGTTATTAGAGACATATATAACTTTTTTTTCCACATGCTGGCGGAATCTTCAAAAACACGCACTTTTCGTCTGTCGCATCGTGTTCTCCTGTTTTTTAGTAAATTTACATGTCAGTCCCCAACTAACACTGTTCTGTATACGCCCCTCTATAAAGTGGACGTAACTTTGTTTACTCCACGTGCCAAAATACGGGATCATCCGGAAAATAACGGGATGTACCGACAAAGCGACACCTGCTGTCATAATATGAACACAAATTATTGCAACTCGCATTATGCTTACTGCCAACTGCTTAGTGCGTACTGTCACATGCGACTATAATATCGCTATCGTTGTCATCTTCGTTGTCGATGCGCAGTGATCATGTATTGCATTATATTTGTAATCAGTGAATATATTGAAGCATATGAATGCTAAGACACATCAAATCAGCCAATTATTGATCGAAATGAATAGTTTAATTTGACATAATGTCGACAATATAAGTGGCAGATTTATAGCAAATTAAAGATACAACTACCATGTTACATATAGTTATAAAGAATGTTATCTTAAACACCAAACATAATACGTTGTCCTTAAAATAAGATGCAATTAAACATATACCATATTAAAATATGTGAGTTTGATGGTTTAGTAGGGAACACACAAGGTTGCAATTACATGAAAGTGCATTCAGTAATCATAAGGCATGATTGAATTCAGCAAAACGCAGGTTTTCATTGTCATAAAAGAATATAGAAGCAAGCATAATGCAAGTTCCGATATCATAAAGCAAGATGGAATAAATGCATTTATTCTGTTCCATATAAAACTCAAAAACATTGATTTTTGACCTAAACCCTAACTAAGTCACTGTGTATATACATGTATATGTAAAGGTGAATTACATTCCCGTTATTTTTTAAATTAATCGATTCTTAATATTTTATATCTTTTTAGACAAAAGTGAACATGTCATTCTACAAAAAAATGAATTATGAAATAATATAATTGCATAATTTTAACAATTACTTTTAATGCTATTAACTGTTTTATTTTCAGATTGAAAATATCATTAAAGTTCACAAGGGGACTCAACGTTATGTAGACTAGAAGTTTATCTATCATATGTGTACATAGCACATCAGTGCGTGACGTTAGTAACGTGTTCCATTAACATTGAGACACAATTTGACGTTGCGTTACTTTTTCCTACAGAACGACTTACAGAGTGATACAGAGAAAATGTCATAAAACTTGGTCTCGATTCCTTATGGAGCAAAAACTTTTACATTCTTTAACCCATTACTTCATGAGCATTTTGTGAAAATGGCTGTTTTCATTGAAAAGTCTCCCGTTACAAGTTCAAATTGCTATAAAACTATAAAAACTGCTTCGATACTAATCAAGCTTGGCACAAATGTTGACTGGACCATTGCCTTTGTAACAACATGCACACGCTTAAATTTCCTGTTACAATGGCAACGAGGGGACATCTAAAAAATTGCCAAAAATCACTATTTTGCGTTGATTTTTCCATCGAAATTGATTTCAAAGTGTTGCAACTTCTCAATGGATTGAGATAGAGTCAAATGATTTTAAGCGTTGGTTACACGTTACCTTATAATCGATCTGGGGTCATTTTTAGCCTCTCACAAGTCCAAAGTTTTCTTGGCGATGAGGGGACTGCCGCCCCCTTCAAACCCCCCAAACAGAAGGGGGCACATCCCCTTTCTGGCAACCCCCTGATGTATCTTTTGGTTGGGGGTCGCGCCGAAAAAGTTGTCACTTTTTTAATGAACATTTCTCAAACAAAAAAAGTGTTGGGGCTTAAATAAGGCATTTTTTTAACCATTTGAGACACCAATAAAAGGGGATGAAAAAGACGTTAAAGGGCGTGTACATCGCCTAATGGGTTAATTACTTCTTATATGCAATTTTTTCGTCGTTTGCATGCGTGCGTGAGTGCGTGCGTGCGTGTGGGTGTGTTATACTTACAGCTCTGTTATTTTTATCTATCATTTTACGGTATATTACGAATAATGCCCATCGAGTGTTTAATCTTTCAAACTAGTTTGAATCGTTATAATGTTTAGTTACGTGACTATGGTATAACCCAGCGTCTAAGGTTTTTTTATTTTTATATTTTAATTTTGAAATACTTATAGAAATACTTAAATAAGAAAGTCGGATTTAAGATAACCAGATTTAAGTATATTCGATATAAGAAAAGCAAAACATTTTTGCGTGTGATATATGGTTATATTCATTTTAAAGAAATATCAGAGATAGACCGTTATTTAAGGTTGAATATAGATGTGTTATTTTATATACAATGTATATTCAATGACGGGTTTTAACTTAATGCTCTATTGATAGATAGATAGATTGAAGAAGCAAAATCAAGTTATTCAGGTGAATTAATTGTTAATTTCTTTTCCTGTTCAAGTTTTTGTTATAAAACTTGATTGCTTTTTAACGTGTCTTCAACATCCTTGTAAAGTGTGACCTAAGACACTATATTCCTTACTTCTTAAGTTGTATGTAAATAAAGTCAGCTGGTAAGTGAAAGTAGCTGGGATGATGAACCTTTATGTTTACTTTTAAAAGCAGGCGACATTGTATTAATTGCAGAAAATAAAAATGACTTGCAATTTAAATTGGACGTTTTAAAACCTTGGTGTGACAAGAATACCATTACCGGTAATCCAAAAATAAAAGCGATATTGTTCACTTTAGACAATGTTCAGTAGCCACAATTTCACAATTGGAGATCACAATTGAGCCTTGTTGACCGCTAAACTTTCTTGTGTTATTTCACTACTGTGTTCTTATGGCGAAGTCTATAAGAAGCTGTATGAAATCACGGTATAGCGTGTATACATATGGCATTTGTGTGGGTCTAAAAATCCATGTATAACTGCCAAAGAGGCACGTGCTATGAAAATTTTCCTAGGTCTGGGTAAACATATAAATAATAATACCATGTATAATGAGTTTGTTGGAAGAAATTAAAGAAAATTTGTATATCAGGCAGAAGTAAAAACAGGCAAGAGCCTACAATGATATCTTAGAAAAGTATGTTAACTCTCGAAAACATAAATCTGCACTCGCCAAATTCCGGTGGGCAATTGCCCCAAACCGCTCAGAAAATTTAAGATATGAAAGTATTACGTCCATGCTTAGAATAGAAAAATTCTCAATTCTGAGCCTATTTTACTAAAAGTTCTATTTGAAAAGTCTTACTTCCATTAAATAGTATTACATAACATTCAGCATTGTCAATTTTTATCTGACACTCGTATATACAATATTTATATATCATCCATATAGTTGCTGCAAATTTATGGTTCATTGTTCAATTTATTCACACAACAGTTGTATAGCATTTTCATCGATATAAGACTTTTATATGTTTGATATACAATGTATGTCACAACTCATCGTCCAAAAACTACAACAAAGAAATATACATATGGTACATAGTATGACATAGAAATGAGAATTAAACATAAAATTAATAACTATTTCCTCTAATATATATACACGAGGGTTGTCCGGAAAGTTCGTAGACAAGACAATGAAATAATTTTATGCAGTCATATCAGAGTGCGTCATGACAATGCATGTTCACTATATATACATTGTATGTTGTATGTAAAGACATTTTAATACAATCTTTGATCACAGCTCAGTAATTTCTTTTAAATGTATGCGTTAGAAATGTCTGGGACAAAAGTCCAGGGATACGCAAAAATTAGTAAAACGTATGTTTTGTTTTACAGTAAAATATGAAGAAGTATATGAACTTTCCGGACAACCCTCCTAATAAGGGAAAATGTACAGCTCAAAAATACGTACACTTGTGATAAAAATAAATATATGCATATAAATTGCAGAATGTGTTGTTATTGGCGTATATTTCTAAAGCAATAAGATTTCTTTTTTTTTTTGTATTCTGTTGATTTAGTATGCAAAGTATTTCTATTTGTTTGTATAGGTGCTAAAACTTCACGACACATTTAAAATTCTGATTTGTTGTTTGTATCGACTTGAAACACTGTTGTATATTGTTCTTGTGCATTGTTTTATGATTAAAACTCACCCTTTTATGTATCAATCACTTTATGATTTTATGAGTATAAACACTTGATTTTCGTGCATACTATTTATAGTGTGTTTGTTTCGGGTAATTACACATTTCGAAATACTTGAAGTAAAGAACAAAAAAGGAGAAGATATATCATTCGATACGGTAAGCTTTTATGTAACACACTATTTTTTCCTTGTGATATATTAATGTAGCTTTGAAAAAGAAATATCAGAAATGTAAAACTATTTGAAATTCCATCATATATTAACATAGTTTTTTTTAGACATGAAATTTAACTTATTTTAGAATATGGTTCATTCTTCAATAACTGATTAATCCGATTGATCATCATGGTATGATTTACTTTTCCGGGTAGTTGGAAAACCATGGCATAAAATATTCGGAATGTTACACATTAAACAAAATATAAGATAACGTACCTTGCGATCTCATAAAGAACCTAATCTGATGATTGGCTAAATAGACATTTTATTCTTGGATATTATGGTACTGTAGAGAAATATACTTTCATTTCATTTCTTACAATGATTGGTATAAATGAATAAAAATATCTGCAATTTTATCACAATATTAGCGAAGTGAATATATATAAATATATTAACAAATATGTAAATAGTGAATGTAGGAACTAAACAGAATGTTGGCTTATAAACCTTATTCTTCTCTTATAACATTTTCATTTTTCCTAAAGATGCATACGATCACGACTTTAATTAAAGCCGTGATACGATCTGGCATATACATGTATACGATGTCAAAACTACAAAAAAAGGAATTATGAGATACTTTCCAATACATGTAAACCCCCACTTTCAGCAGGCATATTGTCAAAGATTTTTGTTAAAATAATGGGTATTTTCACAAATTAAAGAAATCTCCCTCTTTTTAATGTCTGAATTTTCGTCTTTGTTTATTGCAAATTCTGAAATCTTCCTTTTTTGATGAAAAATCACCCACTTGATCATCAAACAAAGTTCACAGTCATGTATATACTTTCCTATTTTAATTTGCCGACAAAAACTGATTTTTCATGTGAATTTTCCTCTCAATATTTCGACTTAATGAGTATCATATTTTTATAACGATACTAATCATAATTAATGAATTGATAAGTTGGGAAGAGTGATAAATTTTCCCTTTCCGAGTGCTAACAAAGAACTTTTGTTCATTTAAAAAGATGCATTCAAGGGTTTCATATCTTAGATCTGTTCCTGACAAGTAACCCCTCCATTGTAAACAGAGCCAATGTAATTCCAGGTATCAGTGATCACGATGCTGTCCTGGTCGACACAAATACCTCCGCCCGTATAAAGCTCCAAAAACCACGTAAAATCCACCTATATAATAAGGCAGACTGGGACGGTCTTAGGTTACATATGTCCAACCTTCATGATTCTCTTGCCAGGTCAAAAAATTACTCCAACAAATCAGTGGAAGAGTTATGGCAAACAATCTCCAGCTCAATTGAGGAAGGGGTCAATACTTTCATCCCATCAAAATGGTCATCCTCCAAAAATAAACTCCCCTGGATCAAGGTCAACCTCAAACGTCTATATAGGAAAAGGGACAAAGCCTACAAGCAGTACAAGGGCCATAACTCAAATAAATCTAGAGATAAATATCTCAGCATTAAACATCTCTGCAGAAAAGAAACTAAGTTAGCCTATCAAAATTACTTGGAAGATATACTAAACATTAACAACAACATCTCTGAAGAACATGAACAAACACAAACCAGACCAAACACCAAAAAGCTATATTCACTATTAAAACACTCAAAACAAGACTCTTTTGGCATTGACTCACTGAAAAAACACAATAAACTGTATACATCAGATCAAGACAAGGCAACAGTACTAAATGAACAATTTCAATCAGTCTTCACATCTAAATCCCCTGTTTCTCTTAAATTCCTTGCTGATATGAAAGTACAGGATCAGGCAGATACAGGTAGAGAGGTTCCCCACACATCATTTAGCCCCCATAACCCCATGTGTGATATTGATATCTCTGTAAAAGGTGTTGAGAAGCTCTTAAAAAACCTTAACCCCCATAAGGCTGCAGGACCTGACCAAATTAGACCCATAGTGCTGAAAAATACCAGTAAAGAATTAGCCCCTATAGTGTCCAAACTTTTCCAAAAATCACTGCAGTCCAGCACTCTACCAGACATCTGGAAAATGGCGAATGTGGCCCCTGTCTTTAAAAAAGGTAGCAAGTCAGACCCAGCAAACTATCGCCCTATCTCTCTTACCTGTATCTTGTGTAAAACCCTGGAACACATTGTCTCCTCCAGCATAACAAAGCATTTTACTAGATCAAACTTGTTCTATGAATTGCAGCATGGTTTCCGAGAAAAAAAGGTCATGTCAATCCCAACTATTAATGCTTATAGATGATATCCTACAGTCAGTAAATCAGAGAAGCCAAGTAGACTTAATCCTTCTTGACTTCTCTAAGCCTTTGATATGGTCAACCATGAAAAACTCCTGTATAAGCTGCATTTCTACGGTATAAGGGGTCAAACTCTTAAATGGATCAAAGGTTTTCTTGATAACAGGTCACAGTCCGTGGTGGTAAATGGCTCCACATCCAGCTCCATACCAGTCTCCTCCGGTGTTCCCAGGGCTCGGTCCTCGGACCTCTCTTATTTCTTATATACATCAATGACCTTCCTGAATATGTCCAATCCTCTAAAGTCCGCCTATTTGCTGATGACACGGCCATCTATCTATCTCTGACTGTCGCTTCTCATTCTAGCTTACTGCAACACGACTTACACCAACTTGAACAATGGGAGACAAAATGGGACATGCAATTTAATCCATCAAAATGCACAGTTATCCAAATCACAAAACGAAAAACAGTCATTCCAACACAATACCTTCTACATAACACCACATTAGAAACAGTCTCATCTGCAAAATACCTTGGCATTACAATATCAAATGATCTAACATGGAACAAACACATAAACAACATCACAACAAAGGCAAATCAAACACTTGGTTTTCTACGCCGAAATATCAAGGTTCACTCAGAAAGGTTAAAGTCAACTGCATACAAGACACTTGTTAGGCCCCAGCTCGAGTATAGCTCCACAGTCTGGTCCCCCTACACAGGAACTCTCATTGACCAGATAGAGTCTGTCCAGAGAAGGGCTGCTAGGTGGGTCAAACATGACTTTGGCCGTATGTCGAGTGTCACTGACATGTTGACTTCCCTTCAATGGAGGCGCCTTGACCTTCGGCGTATTGACCAACGCCTGGTCATGTTTCACAACATCTTGCATGACCAGGTGGCTATCCCTTTCCCAAATTATATCGTCCCTCTTACAAGATCATCAAGAACATCCCATCCCCATGCATTCCAACAAGTCCAAACTAAAACTGATTACTATAAATATTCATTTTTCCCAAGAACAATAGTCCACTGGAATGCTTTACCACCTGATATCATGAACTTGTCTGGCCCCCAGTTCAGTCTGGCTGTTAGCCGGATTGAACATACGTCTCCCTAAAAAACCTTCTCTATTTTTAACCTGTTTTTAACAATTTACTCATTTCCATTACTTTTATATTCTTTTATTTCAGTTCTTTTACTAACATTCTTGTCAGTTGACGCGCGTCAAGTCTAGGTCCCCAGCAGGGGTTTGACTATATGGAAGATAGATAGATAGATAGTTTCGTATATCATTTATTGGTCTGTTATGTATTTAAAGAACGCAATGGTTATCAATTAAATAATAGCGACTCTAATCACATTTTTTCTTCAAATTATTCATGTTTTATAAAGCTCTTTGGCTTGGTAACGTCGCTTTGTGGTGTTTAAATTCCCGGTGAATGGAACGTTTCGCGGCTTTCATTTCATATAAGCGCTTGTAAGACACTGACGTTTGTTGACAAGGAAGCCAAACTTGTTCAAGCATATCAAATGGTTTTCGATTAAGTTAGATTACACCTAACATTCTACAACTTATATACAGTGCTAATATTTGAGGCAAGTTGCATGTTGTTGTTTTTTTTTTAAATGCGTGGACTTTCAGCTATTTTGATAATAAGTTATAGCTTTTCGGACATCAGAGATTCGGTTATTATTTGATAAAAATAGTATTTCTGTCATGTCAGTGGTAATGTCATATTTCGGTGGCACTCCAAAGTAATGTTCTATCTTACTTTTCTGTCAAACAGTCAGCATGAACCAGCAAAACATACTAATAATAAGACTAATAAGTATTTTATAAAGCGAGCTCTTTGACAGAAATTAAAGTACGTAACAATTTAACACCATCGGCGGCTACACATTTTATTTTTTCAAAACACTTACAACTGCACACAAATCAATTCAAAGTTTATTATATATATATATAACTTTTCACAAAACATAAGCTATGTATATGTCACAGGGTGGGAAAAATGTGCAATCTGACCGGGACTCGATCCCTGGACCCTCGGAATACAGTTCCGCGGCACCACCAACTGAGCTATCCGGCCACTTATACATCTTCTCCCCTAAATAGTGAACAGTTCTGAACCCTGACACACTCCCCTGCTGTATTGAAATTCGTCCTCGAATTTCACAGAGTTACAGAGCAATGTAAATCAAACTGAGCTACGGTATATCAGTCACTGTCCCCTGTTGGGTGCCAAATGTTACAGGGTGAGAAAAATTTGCAGCCTGACCGGGACTTGAACCCGGGACCCTGGGAATATCATCCAGCGGCTGTACCAACTGAGCTATCTGGTCGCTTACACATCTTCTCCCCTAAACAGTGAACAGTTCTGAACTGTGACATATAGCTTTCGGTCATACAATTCACTCAACAACATATTTTGCATTTTCCTTTTTAAAACTGCCGTACGGGATTTTATGTACTGCTTCCATTTATCTGGTACCCAATGTCCTATTATATTTCCATGAAAGTGCACAGGAGACCAGTCTATGCATCTGGTTTCAATCAGACTTCATAGGCTTTTATCATTATCTTGTAATTCTAAAAGTTGCGATTGGTCAATTACCCATAATTTAATCTAGATCAGAAACTGTCACAAGTTAATTTACTTAAAAAATCTCAAATGTCCAGTTCAATGGAATGAATGAAAGTTATGGCCGACTTAGTCATACTATTTTTAAATATTAATTCATTTTCTCGTTAAAATCAATTTTATATAAAAACAAAAATGAATATTGCTATATATGGGTTTATTGGTCTGTATCTGGCTTTTTCGTGAATCCGTGTCAGACCCCTGTTGAGGACGAAAGTTTTTACCACTGTTACATGTTACATAACATTTTAACCCTGTTGAAAATTAATTTGATTGCAGTAAATTTTGCAGCGGCAAGTGTTTTTAATGTGTTAACAGAATGGTGATCTACAATTGTTTTATTAATTCTGCAGGTTCAGGATTTTAAAAATGGATGACACGCAGAACGATGGCAGTGACTCAGATTGGGACAGCACGCTAGATTTTACCTCACAGAGACATCCTGGCATTGGTCAATTGAAGCCAGGTATCAACCTAGAGATAGAAGAAGAATCAGCTCTATCTGATGAAAGTGATCTTGATGTGGAAGACAACTTGCCAAATGACAAACAAGTCATTAAAAATGGTACAGTACCAGTTATTCTTAAGAGAATTTGGTTGGCGCCTGTGGCGGAGTGGTTAAGGTTGCTCTCACCGTTATAGGTTTGATCTGACCCAGCATCTTCTAATTCTTTCATGTGAGAAAGCTATCCAGCTAGCTTACAGAATGCTGATGGTTGTACTCAAGTACCTGTTTGTGCCTGAAAAAATTCTCGATTAGGGTGCCTTAGGTCTTCCTTCACCAAAATGCTGCAAAGTTGCCATATGACCTACATGTATACTGTTCAATGTGAAACCCAACCAATAAAAAGAGAAAAATTTGGAAAATTTAGTAAATGTTCTAAACAGTCAACTTTTTTTTTAAGATGATTGTTTGAATTTGTTTAATATATATATATATATATATATTTGTGAAAGGTGTTTTTCATGAAAAGCCATATATCCCATTATATGCCTTAATGTTGACATTGTGTCACCTTTAATAGAATAATAGTGCAGTTACAGGTTAACTCCTTATATAATTTAATAAGAGTTAACCTGTTATTGCACTAAGGTAACACTTGTTTGAAACTTTAAAGATTAAAATGGGAATTTCCAACCATTTCACCAACTGGGATATTTTGTGCAGAAAAACCTGAATTGAGCCAAACAACAATAATATGATACAATAGTGTAAAATACAATTTGATTTAGCCCTGCCGCCTGAAGATAAACTTTTTGCAAAATATAAAGGTAATGTTTGTCAAGTTATTTTTCAAGAAGTTCTAGTCTTAACAAAAAATTGATATTGATAATGAGTGATTAGATTTTCTTTTAAGTAAATAAATATTGGTATGACTGATTTTCAAACAGTTTTCTAAAAGAGCTTTAATACTATGCTTCAATACTGTGCCTCAGGAAGCATTAACTCTCTTTTCTTTAAACTCATAACCTGCTGGAATCAAAAGTAATTAGCCTTAGCTAGTACACATGCATTTTGACCTGACTCTAATCTGTTGGTAGCTTTATTGTATTTTTATTTTGTATACCCTGGAACTTCAAATGAACTGTTCCAAATTCAAAGCAGGATTAATCAATTACACAACTTTACCACGTTTGTGTGTTATTCAGATTTAAAGCCAGTGGAAGAGAGGCCTAGAGCACCATCACCAAATATTAGTAGCCATAGTAATCGGGGTAATCAGAAAGAGAACAATATAGTACTGGCTCAAAAACAACAACAGAAACAGTCACAACAAGCTCACAGGTAAACTACAAACTTTTTATGTTTAGATAATATTTGAGTTTGAAAATAAGTGTGTAGACAACCTGTTGTTATAGAATTGTCAGCAAGTTATTAAACTTTTAAGAATTAGATTGTAAAAACAAACTTTTGACTGCAGTATAGTCTTAAAAGCTTCCTAGCAAATCAAAAAGCGATGGGGAATGGTGGACTGGTAGTTAAGATGTCTGCCTGTAAATCCTGGGGTGTTCAGACCAGTCCTATTGAGGTCTTAACCATGTTTTCTCATATGTTATTAGACCTGATGAGTCCCAAGAAGTGGACTTAAAGGAACTTGACCGAAGTCCAAAAGCCTGAAAAATGCAGAATTTTATTTCTTACATAGATTAGCTGGGGCAACACATAAAGCTATGCAACAGGTAATTAAGAAATATATTGAGAAATAAATTTAAAATGATTTGAATCTCGATTTTAGGTCATTTTTCACAAGTAGAATAATTATTTTGGAGAAATGGAGTGGTCAAATGATCTGAAAATTTGCACACAAGCTATTAATCCAGATCAACATTAAATGAACATGAATTCAAAAAATGACATGGGAGTTCCTTTAAAGTATAAGCTCTATTCACAGTTAAACTTATGCAAATAATGTTTTAAACCAAATAACTGGCCCCTCCCCTCGTTGCTGTGAGTTTAAAATATTTTTCATAGTACCCCGGTAATATGAACTACAATGCTGTGTGTGAATAAAATTAACTTCCTTTCATTGATTAACAGGTATATTCAGTAGAATAAAAGTTATTATCATGTTCCAATGTGTCAAATTAGTAAATGTTTCATTAACTTCATATAAAGCACACTTATAGTCTCCAAAACTTAATTTTGTCGTTCAAATAAGATTATTAAATATAAGGGAGATAATTCAGATGCAGTGAAGCTTTCATTCAATTTAAATAGTGTAATATATTGTTAAAATCATTTTAACTTGTTATTATTTGGTATTAGAACAGAGCAACCAGCCAATCAGCATGCACAGAAAACTGACATACCAGATCCTCCCCCATACAACTTTAGAGATGCTATAACTGGTGAGTTCTCTTTCTTTAATACTCAAGTTAAATAAACCCCTCAAAAAAGTATGAGTTTGTATTAAGAATTGCAGCCTATTTGCACTGTTTTCCCGCTTAATTGTGAATGGGCCAACTGTAGGTCTTTTTGAGAATGAATATTTCTTAAATTTGTGAAATTTTGGCATTATTTTTCTTAAAGAAGATCAAAACATCATATTTGGTATAGAACATATTTGATTTATTCTCCTTTTTCCTATATAATAAATATTTGGTAAAGAACATAAAATTATGTTTCTTATAGAACATGTAGTGCTACCACATATGTTAGGTATAAAAAACATATTTGGTGTAGAACATATATTTTGTATGATAAAAAGCATACCTGGTACAGAACATTCATATGTTTAATAGAATAAACATATTTGGTACAGAATGATTACTTGTTATGTAAAAGGTATTTGGGATTTAAAAGATTTGAGTTTGGTATAGAACATATAAGGATACTTTGTTTAAAGGAAATAAACGTGCTTGTTAGAAAAAGCAAGAAAAGTATTCCTTTAAAATGTTTTATCGAACCTTAGTAACTGCCATCATGCATTATATTCTTTGGAATTGATTTGAATCTTTGGGAATTTTTTGAGTTATTTTGTTGTCATTTTTGGAGACAATAGACAATAGTTTGAATAAAGTCATAATATCAGATAAGTTACTTTTCATGAATGGTTTACTTTATGAAGAATTGTGCTGCTTGTTCTACTATAAAGTTCTGATTTGTTTTATATGTTACCCAACTCCTAATGGAGTCTGTACAGAGATAGGGGTTGGAGGATATATATTGAGATTGTCCATAAATAGGGGATTGGTTATAATTTACACTTACACTGTTATGGTCATATTGAAACTTCCCTGTTTTAACTGGTAGAGGAAGACCTCAGATATCCTTGTGTGCATTATTTCAGGCATAGATGGGCAATGAATAGAACCACTGAGCTTGCAAAAGCAGGCTTAATGCCTAGTGGGGTTCAAATTCTTCAGCAATGTCAGGTGGTTCAAATTCAATTACCTTAACACTCAGCTGCAGATGCCCCTGAAAGCTAATTACATGTATTATTTATACTAAATATATCTCTTTTATTTGATCTTAGCATAATTTTTTTTTTAAGAATATGGCATACAAAATATTATACATTTTAAGATTATATAGATTAATAGATATAATAAATAAGTAATTCAGTAAATTCCAATATCACATGTGTTAATAATTTTCCAGAAAAGAACATTAATTTTTAAAAAAAATCATGTTTATTGACTACAGAAATATTAAACAAATGTCTTGAAGATAAATCTGCTATTAAAGGGACTCCACTGACGTTTAAAAGCCTAAAAACATAACATTTGAATTTCTTACATAAATGAGCTGGACACTTTAAACAGAAATATATGCAAAGATATTTAAGAAATATACTTTGAAATAAATTGAAAATCGTATTTTTATGCTTTTCTTAGCCCGATTTGAGTGAAAAGCGTTTAAACGCTTTTCATTTTGGGTCATTTTTTTACAATTTGAATAATTATTCTGGAAAAAACAAAGTGCGTGAATGATCAAAAATTTTGCACATAGATTAGTGGTCTAAACCTACATCAAATGGTACATTTATCCGGAAAAATATTTTCAGTCCCATCATGCAAAAAAAAAACCTCAGTGGAGTCCCTTTAAAGAATACTTGAAATTTTAATGGATGAATATTCCCTGTAAATTTTACCTGTAGTTTCTGAAACATTGATTTAGGCTATTCTTAAAATAATGCTAGTTTATCAACAGCTTTGGTTTTTGTTGGTAGGCAGGTAAAAAGGTTTTCATATACTTAGATTAAATTTAGAATAATTGATTCCTAGTGATAAAAGAAATATACAATGCATTTTATTTTCAATTCATAGAAGTGTATAACATCTTAGCTTTGGTGTATAACATTTCAGAAAATGATTTTAACAGTTCCAGTCCAACTTACATATTGCATGGAAAAAATATTGTTTTTTTTACCCCCCCCCCCCCTCCCCCACCACCACCCCGCCCAATTTTTTTTAAAAATCAGTATATAAATAGAAAAATACTAGGCATGGCAGGATTTATAGTCATGGATGGGACAGATGCAAGCTGCAACCAAATGGTATTTTATTTTAGTCCTTATTTTCATATAATATGAAAATAAAAGAAACTTTCTTTTGTACTTAATGAGTGTACACAGACACTAAGTGTTGGATAGGGTATATTTATTTAACATATTGATCAGGGTTTCATAAATAGACTTTAAGATAGAATTCTATCGCCACTGCTTTGCAGAAATTCTTTCCAATTAGCATGTTTGACGTTACTTGTTAATTTCTACAGAATGATATTCCGTTGATAAGACATTATTAGGATGACATGACTTATCATGTCAGTTTAAAAAAAAACAACAACAGGAGAACTTGTATTGTTGGATATAATTGCCATTCTTTTAGTTGCAATTGCAGCTGAAATTAAATTGGAAAATGACAGGTAGTGAAAATTTGATTACCCTGGACATTTTTCTTTTTTAACTGATGATTTTAAAATATTCATTTCATTTTGTGAAGTGCTTGGTGACACATTTATTTTGAATTTACTGTTGTTTTGTTTTGTTTTGTATGTTGTTTTTTTTTTTCATGTTACATATAAACTTAGATGTAGATTATAAAGATGGTGTTTGATATCTCATATGTAACAGACTGGTGGATAAATTGTTTTTTATTTGGGTTATATATTGTTACAATTTCATACAAAACATACACAATAGGTTAATAAACTATTTCATTGATTTCGAGTTATTCAGTCAGTCAAAGTCACTTATGTTTAAAAAAAATTGATTTTCATTATAGTCTTTGTAGCGTTATACAATGCTTATAGCTTAACTATGAAAGCATAGTTTGGTAGCAAGCATTTGTGTTGCCAATATTCTTGTATGCAGTATTTGTATAATTATTATTCTTGTATGCAGGTTTTGTATAATTATTCTTGTATGCAGTTTTTGTATAGTTATTCTTGTATGCAGTATTTGTATAATTATTCTTGTATGCAGTTTTTGTATAATTATTCTTGTATGCAGTTTTTGTATAGTTATGTAATTTTATTCAGTATTTGTATAATTATTCTGTATAAATAATCTTTTATGCAATTTTTGTAATGTTTAGTCAGAGAATCATTTAACTAGATATGCTTCATGATGACAAAGAACGGTATCAACACTCAGATTGTAAATTAGCAGCTTCAATTAATGGTTTTGTTTCTTGTTATACTACTAGTTTTTACCTAAAGTAGTCTTGAATTGTGGATGAATACAAAATAATTGTGTATTTTTGATATACTTTTGTTTTTGATATATTAATGCTTGGTGTTAAGTTTATGTATATCTATTTTTTACTGTATTTCATTTTTAATAGTACCAATAAATTCATACTTAATTGTTAGCTTGAACAATTATTCTTTGTTTTTATAGACAGTAGACAGACCCCTGAGCCAGCAGAGAGAGGTCCACCAGGTAAAGACAAGAAAGGAACAGCGTATGACCCAGCCCCTAGTCCTACACCCAGGGGTATACAGAAACAACAAGGCAGTATAAGAAGTGAGTGTAATACTTTTTGTCATTGGTTTGGGTTTTGAATCGCTCCAAACTGTAAAATTGTGGTACAATAGCATTTTGACATGTATTTTACTAATTCAAGCACAACAACCTTGTAAATGTATAAAGACTTTAAATAAGGCTTATAAGCTTGATAAAAATTTACCAGTTGCCATTATAAACATTAATTTTTTGGGGGTTGAGGATCAAGGGGGTAGGGGGGGGGGAGAAAACTATAGGGAGGGAAAATGCAGATTTATACATGTACACTGTAATTTAACTAAATTACTTTTAATTACAAGGTATAGGATCGTGGGATGACTCTGATCCTGATGAAAGGACATTGAGGGAAATACGGACAAATTACAGACAGGAAAAACAACGAGAAGAGCTGAAAGTCAAAGAAGGTAAGAAATTATGAAAGCATTTAAAAATACTTATCAAAAACCAATAAAGAATGTATTCCATGAAACAGCACTGATTTGTTATTTGCAGTTTGTATTTATTATTTCGTTGTCTCCCTTGTATTTGTAATTGGGTTGCTTCCCTTGCATTGAACGTTTCCTGATTCATTTTAAGTGTAAAGATTTTTTTAGAATTGCGACCGGAAAATAACATTGTAAAATTCAAATGTTTGCATTACTAAATGAGAAAATATTTTAATGATGACATATTTATGATCATTATATTTTAATATTTATTTTCACCACATTATAAGATAGAATATTTTATCATTTTATAGTGAAAAGCATTTTATGAAATTGAAATGATATAAACTATTTATAAAACATCTGTCCTATAATATCTATACCAAATGTTGTGCTAAGGAGCTGAAATATTAAATTGTTCATGCATACCGTTGTTGTATGGTATCTTTTTAAAGATTTTATCCCAGAGGAGTATGAATCATGCAATGAGCTTATTAGTGGAGGTAAAATTTAACTGACAGCTAGAAATTTATTTGTGATGAAAGCTATTCTTTTTAATATTATGTATTAGATGTGATTGTAATTGCTTTAGTTAGTGCTTAATATTTTGAAATACATGTATAGGGGAGTAGTGACCCCACAGCTTTGTCCTCTCACCCCATGGTTTGTAGGTTAAAAGTTAAAGTTTTACCTGCTGTCACAGTCATGACACCAGCACTAATGTTAGCTAGAAAGTTATTTATATTAATAGACCCATTTTGATATGTTTAAAGCAGCTGTACAAGATTTATACATATATAAAAAGAACACAGGAAACTAAATGGGTCAAGTTTCAGTAATTTTATTAAAGACCTACCTTTAGGCTATTCAATAGCCTTCATCAGGGTGATTTACATGTATACATGAAAAGAAATAATTTCTGTACTACTGGTTAATTTTGTAACAGGGATGAGTCAGTAACTTAAAACATTTTTATTGCTTATTTAAATGGTATTTATAACGGATAGTGATGAACATTCTGTTGATTACAAAAAGGTTGGGTTCACATTGTAAACAAAATATGCTAATTCTGAAAATTAAAATCACAACAACAAAATAACAACTAAACAACAACTGAACATCTGTTACTTAACGTATATTTAATGTATTGTCTGTGTTTGTTACATGTGTTAACAAGTTTGATTTGTTTGTGCACTGAAACATATGGTAAATTGATTTGTTTTGAAATTGTACTTGTGACAGAATGGTGCCGGGATTGATCTTATGTTTCTTATTGATGAAAAATTGTTTAGAGCTCAAAAGGAAATTGCTGTTTTTTTCCCCCAAGGAAATGTTGATAAATATATCAGGTTGCTTGTAAAAGTAACAATAATATTGATGCTTGTGGGGTATAGATATATGAGCTTTGCTTTGTGTCTTGTTTCTATCTTTTTATTATTTTGATAATGTACAAGTAAAGCGGTAGTGACGTTGATATGATTATATGTTGAAGTCGTCTTGATTCCTGACGTCGTTGATGTTCCTTCCTACACATAGCATATGTCTTCCCAACAATGATCGGCATTTGTAAGCACTAAAGAGATAGGCCAGCTTATGGTTCTGATAAGACTGTCAAAGGTCAGCTCCCAAGTTTTAGTATATCAGTCATTTACTTTTTCGGAGTTTATGATGGACAATAATTAATTCAAATCAAGAAAAATGTCCATGTTATGTGATGCCAACACTGACGTTGACGTCTGGGTGACTACAATGTCTCTCCCTTTTCATTGAATAGCCTAGCTAAAAATTATTTTTCTTCACACACTTATTTGAGAGAATAATAGGAGGTTATTGTCTATAGGGAAGGGAAAGAAATTTTGCCTTGAATTGTCATTAGTTTTTGTTTTTTCTGTTGACAGGGTAGGCAATATTATACAGACATGCCAAAACTTAATGTTACATCTGACATAACACAAAGTAATTTTACATTTTATATGAATCGTTTCAGATATCAGTGTTATATTTTATATAGTTCTAGTTTTTTTCCTTATATATATGATTAGATAAAGTACATATCTATTTATAGATATTGTCATTTGATAACAGTTTTATCCAAACCATATTTTCAGAAACATCTATAGTGGAAGACCCCCCACAGACTGCAAGGTCAGAAACTACATGGAGAAGTTGGAAGTTCGGCAAGAAAAATAAAGGGCCAAAGAATAACACACAGTCACAGGTAGGAAATGAATGTATGAAGTTTGATATGGATCCAGTACAGGAAATCAGTTTTTTAGCTAGGCTATTCAATGAAAAGGGAGGGATATTGAAGTCACTAGGACGTCAACGTCAGTGTTGGCATCACACTTTTGTTAATTTTTTGCGTGCAAGTTGGTATCTCGAAAACTACTTAAGGTAATGGGCTGAGACTACACACTTATTTGAGAGAATAATAGGAGGCCACTGTACAAGGTGGATAACTCTAATGTAGATTTTGACAGAATTGTAGCCCCTTTTTTGAACTTTCAACATTAATTAATTTGAAAAATGTACATTATCCAGTCTTTTGTTTTACTATCAAGCACTTAAAATAGTTGAGCATGTGGTGTCGCTCCTGTTTCATTTTATGATCATGCCAGATGTGGTTTTAGAGACACTGTATTGATTGTACATATTCATTCATGAATTTCTGATTAAAATCGTATTATAACACTGCATGCATGTACAATCACTTTTTAAATTATGTTATATATGGAAACAAACATGCAACATTTTAAATGCTAGAAATAATAAAAGAATTTTATTTGGGAATGATCTTGAAAAAGGGGTCATAAAACATTTAAAAAGTACAAGTGTCAATCTGACTTTGCAATAATTTATCTTGAGTATATTATGTTATATCAACTCATGCAAAAATGATTTCAGGCATCTGTTGTACAGGCAACCCCGAGGTTACGAGATGCCCCCCAGCAGAGTGCCAGATCGCAGACTCGTACTGTTCAAGGGGTAAATGTATCACATAGAGGGGAAGTGACATCACCAGCCATGGTTGAAGTGTTTGATCAGAGGTATAACATATTTTGCCACTTTAATGATATTATTGATTAGTAAAAAAACAAAACTTTTTGCTTCAGTATTCAAAGTGTCAATAACTCAAAACATTCAGTTAAATACACCTATAACTATAGACTTTTCATTGTAAAAATAGCATGCTTGTTAAAAGAATAATCCTAAAGGTGTCATTTTATTGCTCTTCTGTATTAATGGTGACTGTTTTCATTAAGTATTATGTAAAATGTATATGTATGTAGTCTATGTTTGATGAGTGTCCATCCACCCATTAAGGCAAAAAAATACAGCTTTCGCTGTCTAGTACGAACCCTGGACCTGTCACCAGTCATGCTCTTAAAAATCTCTTTATACAAGGGGCTCACACACCTTACTACCCCATCTTGTCATCCCTGCCACATTTTAGGGCCACTCTCCTCGGTTTCAGTCAGGACATTTGCAGCTGAATCAAAGATTTCTATAGAAGGTTAACTTCCCACGTAAAAGGATAGTTCGGTCTCCAGGATCTGCCCTTTCGATACAAAAACAGTTTTCAGATCTTAACCAGTTAATCACTACTCACTGTCCTTGCTCAAAATTCAACCAAGCTTCAAATTTTCTGCCGATTACTGTACCTTCTCAAAGCCATGCACATACTGAGGGGAAGAGAGAAGATAACATAAAATTTGAAATCTTACTTATTATATATTATAGATACAGTACAAGTCCACCAATGCCTCAGATCCAGTATGTACAGTACCCCGCCCCTGCTGTAGCCCCACCTCCTGTACAGAAAGAGGAGGAGCTTCTAGAAGATCCGCCTAGACTCTTTATGAAAGATGAAGACACTGGCAGGTATGTACACAACTTTCAATTTTTAATCATTTGATTAGTAATAAGACTTTGAAAAATATTTTTACTTTTAGAGTTATGAGTAAAATGTTAGAATAAACCTTACCAGATTTAGATATGAACGTGCTTTTGTCACTTGTGCAGTATGCTTATACAAGATTGTTGCCAAATAATGATTGTTACAATTATTTGTTTTGTCCAGTCCCAAGAGAAACTGGGCAATTGCAATGAAAGATTCAAAGTATTTAAAAAGATTTTTGATTATTTATGTTTCAGATATGTTTATTATTTTGGTCATGGTAATTTACGATATTATGAAGTAAATGAAGAATATGATGAGGCAAAGTTACCTCCTATAGCTGATAAGTAAGTTTGTTTTATTGTTGTTGGTGAAATATTTTCATGTAACATCATATGATATAAAGTTGATGTTCTCAGTAACGTCAAAAATATAAAGTTATGCTTGATTGACTATTGGCCAACCAAAGAGTCATGGGTTTGTTGAGTCAAATTTGATAAAAAACATGTTTCGTCATGTGACACCAGTACTGATAAGTTTCAGGAAGGGGACTCAAGTTTGATTAAAACAAGTGTTGCAAGAACATTTTCAAAAAATCTAGATAAATATTTTTAAACTATTTCTGTAAATGATTAATTATAATGGACCATCATAAGTAAGAAAAGAAATGAATTTTTAGAATACAAGAAGTAGAACACCTGTAAAAATTAGAAGAGATCTTGTACATGTATCGTTTAAATAAAAAATAAATATGTTAAGAAGTAAAAAAACATAATACATGCATATGATGTAATATGTTTGTTTATGTATGCTATATTTTAATTGTGAACTTTGATACTTGTTTTGTATCTTCTCAGTGTACAGTAAAATTTCAACTGATTACTTCTTCCACAAATTCATATTATACTATTACCTATCTTTTCAGAGTTGACCGGATAGTTCAGAGAGTATGGCAGGAAGTTTTCGCAGTCCTACGCATAGTCCTCAGTATCTTGATCTGGTTTTGTGTAGAACTCTTCCGGTTTCTTGCCAAGCATATATTCCAGCCGTTAATTGTCGGGGTTTTTGTAACCCTCGGTGACTTTGTTATTAAACCATTCTTGTCAGCTATGTTCAACGGCTTTGTTCAGCCAGGAAGCATATTCTTTTGGAATGTTTTTACAGGAATGCGTCACATGTTTTCGCCTGTAGGAGATATTTTAAGAAAAGTGCTTGAACAGTTTGCGATGTTATTTCGGTCAGTAAGATTGTTTGACATCACATGGGTGTCCGGACGTGAAAATACACATCATTTACAACCTCATGTGATACAGACTGTTTGATTATACAGACCAGTCAATAAATATACAACAAGGCAGTGATTATAGAGACCAGTCTGTTAATATACAACATGGCAGCTGTTGGTAAAGGTATTCAAATCATGCTGTATGCTTTACACTTAAGTGTTTAATTATGAGGTATGACTAATATTATAGGGGTATTTGTAATATTCCTATTGAACATGGCTGATTGTAGATAATAATGTTTTCATTTAAGAAGTATTTAAATTGTATTGAAATGTTAAAATGTATTGTGAATACATTTGTCAAAAGATAAAGTAAATAGAGTTTACTCAGTTAATCTAGATTTATATTTGTAACAGATATCAACTTATAATTTCCCTTCTTAAACTATAAGTGACTATTTTAATTTTCCTATTTGAGCAGTAATTATTATCTTTTGTAGAATATGATACTTTTTTGAGACACTGTTTTTCATTACAGTGTTTAACTTATTTTTATGAGGAATAATGAAATTACCCTACTTATGTTTGTGTTGGCCTAAGCATACATGTATACTTGATTAAAGTGATATAATTGATTTGCAATGGGTACCTATGTATCACTTGTTGAAGATTCACCGAAAGTTTTTTTGCTCAATGATACAATCTTTAGCTGAAATACTGTGTGTATTCTAAGTTTAATATGAGTCCTTTTAAGGCACTGATGGACCTGGACATGTCACCATTCATGTTGTTAACTGAAATACTTTGTTGTTAAACTGTATATAAACACCTGGTGCTTTTTAACTGGTGTACAATATAGAGAAAATCATGTGTTGTTTATGTAATGAGACATAGTATGTAGCATAACATATAATTGCTGTGCCAATCAGAGGCTTTCTTTATCAAATTTGTTTATGATATGAGCCGCATCATGACAAAACCAACATATTGCGTTTGCGACCAGCATGGATCCAGATCAGCCTGCACATCCGCGCAGTCTGAACAGGATCCATGCTGTTCACTATCAGTTTCTCTACTTGTAATAGAGTTTGTAAGCGAATGGCATGGATCCTGATCAGACTGCGTAAAGGCGCAGGCTGGTCTGGACCCATGCTGGTCGCAAACCCACTATGTTGGTTTTGTTGTGACGCGGCTCATTATTATTTTTTGTGTTGGTCAGTATTTAAGATATTTTAGATAATGTAGTCCTGTGAAAAAGTGTTTAAAACATATGATTTGTGACATATTTTTCAGACAGTATGATATTTTTGTAAGATGGTATGGTTATATATACAGTTGTAGAGTTTTACATACAATGTAATTATATTTGTAATTATAGAGATAACATTGTATTAATAGAGCTCATTGACATGTGTCATATTTTGATATTCTATTAATTAAAAGTTGATTAACGTTGACTTCATTATTGACAGCTCTACACATCATATTGTGAACATAGATTTAGTTAGTTATTACAAATATTTATTGATTTGTTATATTATTGATAAACAGATCAATTTTACTAACAATATCTCACTGTTTTGTATGTCTACTTTAAATATTATTTACATGTTTAAGGCAATCTTATGTGCAAATGGGAATCTTTAAAAGTCACTTTATTTTTATTGCATAAATGAAATTACTCTAGATTCTGTAACATTTAGGACATTTAGGTAGATATATCAATATTCAGAAATAGGCATTAATTTAAATCATTGATTTTAATACTAACATGTTTCCTTTGAGGGAGCAACTGTGCACAAGATTTTTGTGTCGCCTCTACGGAGTAGTGGCGACATATAGGGATCACTTCTCCGTCGTCTGTCTGTCCGTCTGTCTGTCTGTCTGTCTGTCAGTGCGTCCGTCACAAAACTTGTCCGGACTACTCCTCATAAACTACTGGTGCAATTTCATCCAAACTTTACAGGAATGATCAGTACCAAGTCTAGTTGTGCATATTGTCAGCATTTTCCGGTTCAATGATTTTTGTCAGAGTTATGGCCCTTTAATAATTTTTAATTTTAAAGTTTGTCCGGACTACTTCTCTTATACCACTAATGCAATTTCAATGAAACTTTACAGGATTGATCTGTAGCTCAAGTCCTTGCGCATATTGCACGGGTTTTCCGGTTGAATGATTTTTGGCCGAGTTATGGCCCTTTGATAAAAAGGTTTCTTTTTCTGTGTGTTGCCAGATACACAAAAGCTTGTCCGGACTACTTCTCATAAACTACTGGTGCAATTCCATCCAAACTTTACAGGAATGATCAGTACCAAGTCTAGTTGTGCATATTGTCAGCATTTTCTGGTTCAATGATTTTTGTCAGAGTTATGGCCCTTTAATAATTTTTAGCTCGACTATTCGCAGAATAATCGAGCTAATGCAGTCACCCATTTGTCGGCGTCGGCGTCGGCGTCCCTGTGGTTAAGTTTTTGTATGTAAGCTGGTATCTCCATAACTACTGAAGGGAATGGATTGAAACTTCACACACTTGTTCTCTGTGATTATCTAAGATGATTGGCACAAGTCCCATAACTCTGATTTGCTTTTTTTCATAATTATGCCCCTTTTTCGACTTAGAAATTCTTGGTTAAGTTTTTGTATGTAAGCTGGTATCTCCATAACTACTGAAGGGAATGGATTGAAACTTCACACACTTGTTCTCTGTGATTATCTAAGATGATTGGCACAAGTCCCATAACTCTGATTTGCTTTTTAACATAATTATGCCCCTTTTTCGACTTAGAAATTCTTGGTTAAGTTTTTGTATGTAAGCTGGTATCTCCATAACTACTGAAGGGAATGGATTGAAACTTCACACACTTGTTCTCTGTGATTATCTAAGATGATTGGCACAAGTCCCATAACTCTGATTTGCTTTTTAACATAATTATGCCCCTTTTTCGACTTAGAAATTCTTGGTTAAGTTTTTGTATGTAAGCTGTTATCTCCATAACAACTGAAGGGAATGGATTGAAACTTCACATAGTTGTTCTCTGTGATAGTATTACATGATTGGCACAAGCCCCATAACTCTAATTTGCTTTTTTACATAATTATGCCCCTTTTTCGACTTAGAAATTCTTGGTTAAGTTTTTGCGTGTAAGCTGGTATCTCCATAACTACTGAAGGGAATGGATTGAAACTTCACACACTTGTTCTCTGTGATTATCTAAGATAATTGCCACAAGTCCCATAACTCTGATTTGCTTTTTTACATAATTATGCCCCTTTTTCGACTTAGAAATTCTTGGTTAAGTTTTTGCATGTAAGCTGGTATCTCCATAACTACTGAAGGGAATGGATTGAAACTTTACACACTTGTTCTCTGTGATTATCTAAGATGATTGGCATAAGTCCCATAACTCTGATTTGCTTTTTAACATAATTATGCCCCTTTTTCGACTTAGAAATTCTTGGTTAAGTTTTTGCATGTAAGCTGGTATCTCCATAACTACTGAAGGGAATGGATTGAAACTTCACACACTTGGTCTCTGTGATTATCTAAGATGATTGGTACAAGTCCCATAACTCTGATTTGCTTTTTTTGCATAATTATGCCCCTTTTTTGACTCATTAATTCTTGGTAAAGTTTTTGCATGTAAGCTTGTCTCTCCATAACTACTGAAGGGAATGTATTGAAACTTGAAGAGTTTGTACCTTTTCGGACAATTTTATGTATTCATATAGGTAAGCATTATTATACTCAATGAAACACCCTTGTGACAAATTTTCGAATAGTCGAGCGTTACTGTCCTCCGACAGTTCTTGTTATTTTTAAAGTTTGTCCGGACTACTTCTCTTATACCACTAATGCAATTTCAATGAAACTTTACAGGATTGATCTGTAGCTCAAGTCCTTGCGCATATTGCACGGGTTTTCTGGTGAATGATTTTTGGCCTAGTTATGGCCCTTTGATAAAAGTTGTTTTTTTCTGTGTGTTGCCAGATACGCAAAAGCTTGTCCGGACTACTCTGTCTAGTTGTGCACTATCCGTCTGTCTGTCTGTCTGTCACAAACTTTGTCCCAAAATGAAATTGGCCATCATAAGGCGACACATGTGATTACTGATCGCTCTTGTTGATTTTGCTGAGGACCTTACCTTAAATAGTTTTCTGACATTCTGTCTGTTATACTTTTAATTGTTCTTAAATTATTGATATAAAACTTTCTTTATCAGACTGGTTATCAGACATTGAATTTATTTTCAAATTTGTTAGTTATATTTCTTTTTTTGTGTGTTGGTCAGTATCTAGAGATATTTTAGGTAATGAAGTTCTATAGAACAGTGTTTGAAATTGTGATGTGTGGCATACACTTCAGATAAACGAGTATGATATTTGTATTTAGTGGTATACATGTTGTTATAGATACTGTTGTAAAGTTTTACATTATTATATTTGTTTATGATAGAAATAACAGGGCATATATAGAGCTCATTGACATATATCATATTTTGATATTTTATCATTTATGAGTTGATTAACTTCGACTTCATCATTGACAGCTCATTATATCTTATCAATATAGATTTAGTTTGTTATGTTATAACTAATATTTATTGATTGATTGTATTATCAATAAACAAATCAAATTTACTAGCAATATCTCTCTTTTTTAAATGTCTACTTTATTTAGTCTTTACATGTTTAAGGCAATCTTGTGTGTTAAAAGCAATCTTTAAAGTCGCTTACTTTTTATTGCATAAAAGAAATTGCTCTAGTTTCTTTCACATTTACGTAGATATTACAATATTCAGGAATAGGCATTGATTTTAATCATAACATTTATTCTGTGAGGGAGCAAGTATAAATGTACAGTCATTGTCATAATTAGATAGTTTCAACTATGACATTGTGTAAGATTTTTTTTGCTGAGAACCTTAAAGGCCCATTATGTATGGAATTCAAAATAGTACTTTGTTATCATTTTGCTACTTTTATGACAAATTATTTCACATTTATCGCTACCTTTTTCAGGTAACAAGCATCTAACATTTCTCTGAAGTCATCATTTAAACACTAAAATGTTTGACCGTTCTAAAGAAGTAAGAATTTATTTGTTTCTGAGGCATATTGTACCTTCAAATAGTTTTCTGAAATTCTGTCTTTTATACTTTTAATTGTTCTTAAATTATTGATATGAAACTTTAAAAAATGGAGGAGTTTAGTTTATAATTTCCAAACAATATATTATTGATTGTTTATGTATAAACTTTTGCATTTCTTACAAGTTTTACGTGAATTGTTTCTGTTATAATTAAGTTTTATGTTGTTGTATTTTATTTATTTTTGTTTTGTTTTTGTTTTGTTATTTCTACCTCTACTCTTATTTCTTGATAATCAAAATTTCTGTTTCTTTTATTTACTGATGATTATTTTTATCATCTTTTAACTCTTAACCCACTGAATTGTTATTATGGGTTTGCCTTACTTTAAATTTGGAAATGTCCGTTCAAAGTGTCCTTAAGTTCAATTTTGAAATACAAAACTTGGGTTTTTTACTGATCAAGCCAGGCTAGACAGCACTGAAGTTCAGGCTGGCCTGGCTTGATACTGGTAGCTACCAGTAGCTTATTGATTTTGGTCCCAGCAGGTTAAGGATTAAAACATATTTGGAGATGTTTTATTGTTGTTATTTCTTACATATACAATGTATGTATTGAGTTGTTAATCAAAATTTTACTTTATTTTGTAGTATATAACCTATACATTGAGACGTATATTTTTGTTTTAAAAAAGTTATAATTTTGTTGATTTATGCCGTCCATATACAGATTTAGTCTTATTAAGTCAGCAATATTATCTCTCTTGCTACATTGGGCACACTTCTGCAATCCAATCTCATGTTGCATTTTACTTACAATAATAGTTTGACATACCAGGACTTTCCTCATTTTCCCCCACTATCTATTGCACTATAGTTGACTTGACCTCCTTAGTAGGTTGTTCAGGCGATTGCATTCTTTGAGGAGTTTTGATTAAATTTTTTGGATTATATTTCTGAGGACAATCATTATTAATGCTATTTTATCTGTAATCATTATCTAATAAGATCAATAGTAAATATCTTATGTTGTAGAAATAATGATAGACAGTTTATTATAAATTATGATTTAATCAAAAAATAAATTGCAATTCCTACATTTAAAAATACATAATCTATGTTTACAATATAACTTATTGCAATCAGTGATTTTATTTGTGCAATTATTTAGCAATGTGAATATACTTGTAGATTACAATCATTATTATGTTACATGTATTTATCTATATGATATATATCTGATTATATTGATTTGTTGTTTAATCCGTCCACATTTTTTTCTTCTATTTTGCTCATAGGTTTATTTATGAATTTATCATACATGATTTTAAATGTGTATATTGATTGAAGGCCTTTAGGACTAAATTTGCCTTTGGTACTGTTAGTGGTAGATGTACGAGTATCGTTGTTTTTACTTTTTATGTAAAATTGATTTTATGTATACATGCATGATTTATGGTACATGTGTATTTAATTTCTTGTCTGTTAATTTGTGACAGAGATTTACATGTATATATATTGTTAGTTATATTTTAGAAATAAACAGAAATATCAAGATGAATTTTGTTTATTTTTATTATTTATTTTGCGTGTTAAAGTGACATAAAATTGTTGACTGTGACATAAAATTGTTGACTTTATTCTCACAGTTTCTGGCAATTTAATGTTTTCATATTCACACAGTTACAATAGAGTTTCATTGAAATGGTATATAATATTTTGTTTATATTTAAACAGTTACGTCAGCGTTTCAACAATCTGCTTTTATGTTTTCCTTATATTTAAATTTAATGTTGCATTTAAACATTGATTTTATTACTTTATTGCTACCATATTTTATTGCATAGAGACTACCTTAGCTTATATCAGATTTGACAATATCATGTCTGTCCCTTTGTAGAAATATTTTCACTTGCTATAGAAATGAAACTATAAAAAAGTGTATAAGTTATGTAATATATTACATTCACTGACTGTAAAAACAGCACAGTAAAACAGTTTATAGCTGGTGTCACATTTGCATTTATTGGTTTAAACTTATATAAAAACATAACCATTAGACAAGATGGATAAGTTACGCAATATTTACCCATGGAATTACTTTTATAGTTATCTTTACAAGTAACAAAATATGTCATTACCTCATTACATATAAACATGTGTAATATTGCGTATAATACTTAGCATTTATCTTGCTATCTTACCATAGAAAAAATTTATCAAAGAATTTTAATGATAAATTACAAATCCATTTCAAACATGCAAATAAACGTGAAAAGAACTAATTCTATGACATTCACACTTATTTGTATTAAAGGTCCAGTCGTTCATTCATTTATTTGGCACTTTGGCAGTAATGTTTATCAATAATCAATGTGTTTTTAGTTATGAATCATTTCCTATTACTACATTTTTATGAGGTTTCAATGATGTTTATTTGTTGATAGTGTTTTGATAAGATTTTTCATTATCTCAGGCGGCTTGATATTATAAAATCACTGTTTGGTTTATAACCATCTTCGAATGTATTATGCATTCATATTAAAAAAAGTTCGGATCTCCTATATACCCATTTGTTTACTTAAAGTGTATAAAGCTATATATCCGCTGTTTGTGGGTTGTAAAATTATTGTTTATTATATATCGTAATTTATATATAAATTTGTGGTACATTTTAATGAAAGCGAGTAGGACGTGTGTAAATCATCACAAAACCTACTAAAGAAGTAGCGGACTATATTTTATTCCGGAACATTTTTATTCTGATAAGTACAATATTACAATATTCGTGTATAGAATTACGTAGACATTTTATATTATGTAAATCTTTCAAGAAACGGCCATATGGTTATGAAAACAACATAGTTGTAGCTTTTCAATTACATAAAAAAGCTTGATACACGTATAGGTACAAGTAAAAAATTATAAAGATCTGGTGAAAGTTGGTAAATAAGAGAAAGAAGTGTTGATATAAGTTGGTTGAATATATGTGTATTGATTGTTTCAAAGAAAAGTCACTGTCCAAGGCCCTTAACTCAGGGATGATTTGTTATCGTAATAAGGGTTTTCATTGAATTATCTCTTTTTTTTGTAAAATTTAACAAAAAAGTTCTGCATTATCAAGGCTCGTGTTACTACCAGACAGGCGCTATTTCTTGTGTATATGTATATACGTTCCAGGTCGATACGTTATTCATTATATGACAGTTTTCTTTCTTTCTTTCTTTCTTTCTTTTTCTTTCTTTCTTTCTTTCTTTCTTTCTTTCTTTCTTTCATTCGTTCTTTCTCCGTGAACTGAGCTCCTACAAGCTAGTAGGGCTCTGTGATGATAAACATGTGCATAATGGAATAATATACCAGGTTTTGTGTAAATTGCTGCGTCATAGACCTAGATTCTACCCAAAAATGATTATACTATCCGCTTTTTCAATCATTTGAACTTGTACGCGTTGTTACTAAGGAATTCCGTTATCTTTAACATTACTGAAGGTTTTCACTACGTCATTACGAGTCCAAAACGTACTGATAGTATTAGATCGATTGAATTTCATTTACAATGATAATAAGTTGACGGTAAACACGCTTATCAACTTATGTTCAATTAATAATACGCACAAGTACAAACGTTGTCGTACAGTGCCAAATGATAGGGTGTTTGTCTAAGGTTGTATAAATATTGAATACGGTTTTGTCGCTGGGAGGAGGGGTTGGGGCACAGCTGAGATGAGAATGTGCAGTGGCCATAGGTAGAGTGGATCAGAGGAATGACTTGTACTAAATGACATTGAAACAACTCAAATTGTTAAGATCAAAAGTAAAGACAAACCATATTTGCTTGTCTTACTGTCTTTATTTTCCCAAAACCTATACTTAAATACTATTTTGCATTGTCCTTACAATGTAAATATCCGAAAAGCCCAGAGTATAAATATCATGTATAAATTCATTTGAACCGATATTTAAAAGCATGTTCCCTTGTCCAGCTTATATTTCCCAAAACTTGGAATAGCATTTTTCCCTTTTACATCTTTACTTCCTGTAAACAGATAGTGTATAGATATTATTTTCCCTTGTCTACCTTATTTTCCCAAAACCGATACCGATAGTTTATACACCATCTTTCCTACCATAATTTATTTTCCCAAAATCGTTAGTTTAAATATTATCTTATCTTTTGTAGCACAAAGTTGATTTTAATTCCCTTGCCTTGCCTTATTTTTCCCGAAACCCATGGATTAAATATCAGAGAGTTTGACAATCATTTTCTCTTGTCAGGGTACAGTTTTCAAATTTTTCTGACTAGGTTTATTCTTATTCAAAACCAGGTTTTCTCTAGTTTAGTCAATCGAAATCAATAATGTTTGTTAACAATACTTAGGTTTTATCATGGAGATATAGAATTCTAAATCTCTGTTTCCAGGGCTCATTATTTTGGTTTATAAACATTAAAATATGACTTTGTGCACGTTTCCTCGATAATCCCAATATTTTCAGTATACTATAGAAGTTAAGTTTTTATAGCTTTATAACGCTATGTAATGTTGGCTACGGCTGTGGTCCTAATGGAAGTTTTAGAATAATGGGTTCAATAAACGCTATATAAATATTGACAGTATAAGCGGACTAACTTGCCTAACCTGTCAACCCACTCTTACTTTAAAGAAACAAAACATGATCAAATAAACCTTGGCAATTATTCAATAAGTAGAGCTACTATGTAAATTGACATTGGTACTTAAATTGTATTTTTAAATTTTAAGTTGTAATCGGTGGTATTTTCGGTATTATGTTATTTCAGTAAATCGAAGGTCGAGATAATTTCACGAATATCAAATGCCGTATATTTGACGTTACTTATAGGGGGTAAAATTGAATTATCGCTATATCAAGCTTACTTAAAGTTTATTACCTTTTAAGACGGTGAAGAAAAACTTGAAATCGATATTGCCAGTTACTGGCTGAATCAAACCATAGATGTCAACGAAATAAGCCATTTAAATTTGCTCTTCCACATTAAAAGGATTTAACATTTAGAGGTATGTTTTCATTTGCTTCAATAACAGTTATATATTTTTCAATTGGTAGTGCTAATCCAAAATCCATACACGGGAAATCTTCGTTCCGTCGAGTGTGACCGAATTTATGCTGGAATTTAAATGAATAGAAATTTAACACTTTAACAATTCTCTGCGAGATTGGAAGCGGTCCAGATAAGGTAAAATAGCAACGGGAGAATTATACCAAAACAAGGTAATTATTTCTGTTTTTGTTGAATTGCCTAGTTTTTTCTGTTCTGTTGTGTTGGGTAAAACAAAGTTTAATTAGACACATGACATTGACTTTCAAGTAAATTAAGATTAAGTAATAGAAACTGCGACTTTTATCTTATTCAAAGGTTCTTTTAATTGCACGTAAATAAACATGAAGGACTGACTTAGTAATTCTGTATTATTGTTATTTGTTTATAACATGTAATGACTGTGTATAGTCAGTCAGATATTATTTTGTTTTATTATCTTAAATGGACCGAAGGTATTGATGATAAGTCCAAATCGCACGTAATGTAGACATTTTCATAGTCCGATGAATTAAATGCTCAGAAAAATATTTTTCATTAACACCGTAAAGAAATATGTTTAACACCTGTTTGTTTAAATGGAGTAAACACGTCACAAATGTGATGAAATGAATGGAACAAGTTCGTAACTTAAACGTTTTTGGAAAGGAATATCAATGAGTGCAATGACAAAAAAACTTAGTGAAAATTGCGAACTCGGTTTGATTGAGTCTGTTCATGAGAGACAATGTTAAGTGCAACACCTCTCAGGTCCCTAGCATCCGACTAAGCAACGTTCAAATCAATGGTACCAAAGTTCCAGAACAATATAAGCAGAAATAATAAGAACGATAAAACAATTCAGAGGAATTCGTAATAGGCATAATAACTTTGTAACTTTATAACAATGCGCTATACTACATATGAGCCGCGTCACGACAAAACCAACATAGTGTTTTTGCGACCAGCATGGATCCAGACCAGCCTGCGCACCCGCGCAGTCTGATCAGGATCCATGATGTTCGCTATCAGTTTCTCGACTTGTAAAAGGGTTGGTAAGCGAACAGCATGGATCCTGATCAGACTGCGCGGATGCGCATGCTGGTCTGGATCCATGCTGGTCGCAAACCCATTATGTTGGTTTTGTCGTGACACGGCTCAATTATAATTTGATTGTCAAGGAGATGTACATATTTTAATTGACATGATATACATCAAAGAAGTTTGCACGAGAAAGAAAACGTAAAATGAATAGGTAATTTATCTGTCGCGGCGCCTAAAGCTTTGCTATTTTCTGATGCAACATGGTTTAGTGCGGAAATAATGGTGCATTTTATTTACACGGACATAATATTAATATTATAAATACAGCTAATTAGTTTACTTTGTTACAGTCTCGTTATATACCCTGACTTTCCGGAAGGGAAAACAACGTTAAATTTTAGACTGATCATTACAGGAAATAAAAAGCTTGTTAAACATAAGGATAACCAATGTATCAAATTTAATTTGGAACACTTTTGTTTCCCTCAACAGAAAGAGTCTTAGACATTTTAATCATACTTTGTGTTTTAGAAATTGTATCCAAAACATATACGTTGTGTAAGTTACAAGTTGAATAACAGTTGTTCCTGAACTCTTTATTGTTCGAAAACAGAAACAGAGTTTAGGGAAATTGTGATTTGAAAACTTAACTTGACGTCAAGTTTTGATCTGCAAACTTCGATGGTTGTCTCTATAATAAATTAATATATTTTAAAATAAAATGATTCTGCTGTTGTGTTTACATCTACTTAATCTTAAAAACATGAACGTAACTTAACATAACTTATATTTTAATATAAAAATCTCATTTAAAACGCATTTAATGGTAAATCAGTCACCTTAAAGCATATTGGTTTATCCATTTAATGAAAGCAAATATTTTGTAATGTCATATATAAATAAAATCATTCATCAACTACAAGTATTCGTGGTATAGCTAAAACCCATTAAGCATGATTTCCTGCCAAGAAAACAAACAGATAAAGAAAAATAAGCTATTAATCTCTCACAAAAATCATTGACGAACATACATTGAGAAATAGTGTTATCTTTGAGAGATAGCGTTATCTTTGAGAAATAGTGTTATCTTTGAGCAATAGTGTTATCTTTTGTACAATAACAATTATGATAAAAAATACTTTTTTAATTTCATTTTTCCTCATGTAATCGTTGCGAACTCTTTGAATTACCGACGACAATAAAATTGATTTCCTCTTTCACGACATAATGAAAAAAGAATCAGTACGAAATAGATTTTGAAGAGAGAAAATATTTATAAAAGTTTTATACAGTTACAATTATCACAATAATAATGTTTCAAGTTTCGTTTGCGCACGGCACCTCATTAAACCTTGTTGGCCTATTCAGGTGAAAGGGAGCGTATTGAACCTATTCAATCTTACAATCTTGATAGTAAAAATCTTGGCACAGGTGTCAATTGAGGGTAACTCGATCTTGAAATTGGTTTACATATAATATAAACCTCTCATAGTTCAGTTATATACCATCACACTTCAAGTGGATTGACAGGTCAAAATAATTCAAGGTTTTACAATAGTAAATAAACACAATACCATTATAAAAAGTCTCTATTAGTAACGCATTTAGCGTCTTCAATGTCTGAAAAGAAAGCATTTTATCAAAATTTCAGTTTTTTAATTAAATTTTTTTCGTTTCTTTTTATTTTGCTTACTCCCCTAACAATTGATAATCTGAATATTTTCAGATTTTGTGTTTTTTCTGTGTGTGAAATTTGTTTATTCTATTGTCGCCACTGCACTGGGAACCCATCTTGGCAACGCGTACGCCCCCTCAGCTTAAAGGGGAGAGCATCGAATTTGTAATCCAAGGGTTGCAGGTTCGATCCTCGTGCGGGGCCAAATTTCTCGTGACTGTTGATCTCTGACATTGAATCTCGTGGTCTTTAGTCTTTCAATCCCCGATTCAGAAATCTTATGGAATTAATAGTCAGTTATTTAAGGAAATATCAGTAATAAGTGGTTAGTTATCCTAGAAATAACTCTATATTAGACTAAAGTACATTTGTTGTTTGATATCCTTTAGAATAACACTGGACCACGTTTTATTTACATCCTCAACCCAACCGAAAGACAGTTGGTTATTTATGTTGGAGTAGCTAAATGCTAATAGGGATCGAACGTATGATCCCAAGATTTGAAGTTGTCACTGAACCACTAGGGTCACTTCTTTTTTTAACTGTTTTGTCAGTTCCATTTTGTCAGAAGGTGACGTTATTTATTTCGGCATTATTTATTGTACGAATACATGTACAAGACGTGTGCATGGATAATAATGACTTAACATTTTTGTTACAGATGCAGTCGGATCAAAACCCATACGCCTTGTCTCTGGCGCATAAAAATAAACCAGACAACTACAAAACCACCTATACCACATCGTACCTTAAAATGCCAACGTTTCAAGTGTCACCAGCTTATGAACCTATCAGGGAGCCAGCTCAGGAACGCCGTTGGTTCCCACAGGACTTGTCACCATATCCCTCCGCGCGCGATAATTCGCCAATACGTAACAGACGACCTTATCAACAGATGAGTTATGATGAAGAAGACGAGATGGCACGCCGACAAAAAGAGAGGGAGTATAGAAGCCGGTTTGAAGATTATACACTTAGGAGAGACGAATATAGGGTAAGCTTTAAATCTAATTCTTAGCTCACCAAGGCACGAACCGCCCATAAATGAGCTTTTGTCGTCGTCTGTTCTATTTTGATCACTCGTTTCTTTTCACAATATTTTTCTCCTAAACTACAGAGTATAATTCACCAAAAGTAAGTTACGTAAAATGAATGATTGTGAGGTGGTCCACAAAAGGTATACTAATGAGCCGCGTCACGACAAAACTAACGTAATACGTTTGCGACCAGCATAGATCCAGACCAGCCTGCGCATCCGCGCAGTCTGATCAGGATCCATGCTGTTCGCTATCAGTTTCTCTACTGGTAATAGAATTGGTAAGCGAACAGCATGGATCCTGGGTGCGCAGGCTGGTCTGGATCCATGCTGGTCGCAAACGCACTATGTTGGTTTTGTCATGACGTGGCTCAAATATGTCCGATCAAATGAATAAGTAGGTCGCAGGAGACGATGCTGATTTAAAATATCAAAACATTTTCTTGACACATGTAATAACTGCAAAGCCCAGCGCAAATATACTTGGTATTTAGAGTATTTATTCTCTAGGAGGCCTCTATCGAAGTTATAAATAGTCATTCCCACGATGTATAAAGTGACCCTGCTCTTCTAACTTATTATTTTCCTTCCCATTTACTCAGGTGAGTGATATAGACCCACTGGGTTTCTTGTGATAACTGTGCAAAGACATGGTTTTCTTAGACTTGTTCTCTCGCGTTCCTCAAAGAACATGTGATACTTTAACCATTTTTGTTTATATACTAACTCATAAACGTTTTTTATTGAATTTTTACTTGGAAGGTTCCATTGATTTATTTCATATGAGGAAGTACATGCCTAGCATGAAGAAGATCGATGGTTTTACCTAGGTACCCTTTTGAGAATTGAGTACCGCTTTTGAGTATCGCTCAAGCCGGTGCTAGTGGGCGTGAGGGATGTTGCACTTATACATTATCCCTCATGTACGGGAGTCTGCTATTTTTATGTAATTTTGTTGTGATTAATGTTTCCGAGGTATAACTTTGTTTTTAAATTTTAAGTAATATTTGAACGTGATATGAATCTATTATTCTTTTAAAACTTCCCAAATGAGTTAAAACCACCTAAAACTAACCGTCTTAAATATATATATTTGAGGTTGTTATAATGTTTTCTTTCAGGAGCCACCACCGCGCAATGAGCACGATTATGACCAAATGTCAGAGTTTAACGGCCCCTCTAAAGGACAATATCAACCAGACGAGCGGATGCGTGAGGCACGAAAAGATTATCTGCGCGCACAATTTAACGATCTTGTTGTAGACGGGCAATCCAACGATGATTTGAGAAATGTCGAATGTGAAAAGTGCGGCAAACGCCAAGTGGTACGAATTTGTTGATATTTTTATTGCAACCCATTGGGTTTCTTGTGATACGTTCCTTTTGTACAGTGTGCATCTGAAAGACCCTAACTGACATGATTTTCTTAGACTTATTCTCTCACTTTCCTTACACATGTGATACTCAAACCCTCAAATCATTCTTGTTTAAAAACTGAGCCATTCATGTTCCTCAAGTTCAGGTCAATGAAACATTATTAATACAATAATTCAAAAGAATTGGTTTCATTTTCCCCAGAACGTTTTGAAATTTATCATTTTTAAGTAGAAATAAACTTTCAGTCACGTTTGTAAGTACATAAGTATCCATTTTATATAAACCATGTATTTTTTTTATATTATTTAGTGTTTGAACCAGCTTGGCTGTTCACATAGATATTGTGACGAGTGCATGGCCCTGATGCCAGGATCGGACGGTCCGTTCCGGGACTCTATACGCTGGCATTACTGTTGTAGTACCTGCAGGAAGTGGACTCCGGAGCAAAAGCTCGTCCGCCTGGATCCTTATGGCCGTAGATTGGTAAGTCTTGACCTTTTTTTTTGCTTACTTTGCAAATGTATAATTGTCTAGGTTATAAAATCACCCAAGCTTTTTTGCCTTTTAGTTGTCCTTAACTTTTCATTTTTATCTGGTATACCTTTAAATTCAAAACTTAGATTCCAGATTTTAAATTACTAATTCTGACTCTACAAACCTATGACTATAACAACTTTGTATAATCGTGCTGATATATTACCATGGTAGTAAACACTGTTAAAAGCTCCAATCATGAATAATTTATCATCTAGGTAAAGTAAAGTTAACTAAATAATTACATTGGCTAAAGTCTCTATATGAACAATATAAGAACGATTTTATGATCAATAGTCATATACAGTTTAAACTTAAACTTAATAATTTCGAACAACTTGAGAGAATGTATCCTTAACCTTAGTAAATGATTTTTTCTATCCTATAACGTTTTAGATAGACCACACCCTGGTTATAATGCTTGATTTTGTTATGCAGGCTGAATATACAAGAGGATAGGTGTACAAAATGGGAGGCTATATGCACAAAATTCAATTTCGTAGAATCAACCATGCAGTGTTTCTGGCATTGTTTTTTGTAATTTGCCATAACAGAAGTCTTTAGATTCGTACAAATAACAGTGTTTTTGCATGATTAATTTGTCATAAATTTTAATAAACAACGAATCATTTTGAATCGCAACGTTCTCACTATTCAGATAATCGCTCTGGCATTCGAAGCTGGGTCGGGTTACAATTCACTGTGTGTGATACCTTTTCCATTCATGTAGATGATGCTAGTCCTCCTGAATCAGATAAACCTTGCTTTTTAGATTAAGCATTACAGTACAGCGAACAAAACATGATCAATTGTTAAAGTAAATTTCATATGATGTCAAAATTGTAAAACAACATATAAACAAAAATAATGTATTTGGAAAAACAGTTATATTGTTATATTGTTAAGCATAGTAGGTGACATATATGTAATGGTCAAACTTGGTAACACGTGGCAGAATATATTTACAGCTGCCATATTATTGCATTTCATATAATACATATTACTTTAACAACACACTCGTTTTCTACAATAGTTTCTTTTTCTTTTTGGGTATGTTATTTTACGGTTTTACCGCAATCAAAATCACGTGATTTTATTTATCGTTCAACTTGTTTGTTTCTGTTCATCTCATTTCCCGGCAAATCCGTCCGCACAAATCTTTCTGTGCGTCCCTTGCTACACTTAATTCTCAATCTGGTTAATTATTTCAAAATTTATTTCTGCAACTCTTTTTGTGCTTTGTCCTTTCACAAATCCGTTAGTTAATTACTTTTTTGTCATTTCCTTTCGCTTAACTCATTTTTTTCTTCGCTTAACTTATTTTTCTAATTATCTCGCCCTTATTCACCATGCGTCTGGTTAACCCGTCTCAGCTTATTTTGCACAATTGGTTTGTCCTGCTTTTAATTTGGAAATATCCATTGTTATTTCAAGGGAGTTAATTGTCAAATGAGCCAGCCGACACCAGACTGGTTATGTCAAGGGAAACAAAAACACGTTTCCGCCGACACAATATTTGCTCCATTATTATCTAGTACCGTGTTTAACTATACTATAGTTCGGCTTGCAGGAAACTCTTTAATAATTATGTTATGAGCATATTTCTTACTGAATTGTTATCCATTGTGTTTTTGTTTTTGTTTTACAGTTTATTAATAAGATATGTTAACCCCGACGGTATGTTGAAATTCGGTTAGCTGTAACTATATTGCACATTTCTCCACGCATTATTAATTAATTTTAGTGGCTTTATACCGTTAATTATTGAACTTTACAGAAGTAATCGACTAAAGATTACACATCATAAACAGAATTAACCAGGCAATCGTGGGTCTGAGCCCAACTTGGATTGTGAGCATTCATTCTCACTGATACTGGTATTGGTACTGGTACTAATATTGGTACTGGTACTGATATTGGTACTGATATCGATACTAATACTGGTACTGGTACTGATTCTGGTACTGATACTGGATCTGGTACTAATGTTGGTACTGATACTGGTACTGATACAGGTACAGATACAGGTACTGGAACTGGCAATGATACTGGTTCTGGTACAGGTACAGATACAGATACTGGTACTGGTACTGGTCCTGATGTTGGTACTGATACTGATAGAGGTACAGATACTAATTCTGGAACTGGCACCTGTATTGGCTAGTTCCACGAAACGGATGAAATAACGGTTGAACTTGTTTCACAATAGAATTTAGATAACCTTTATTGGGAAGTCCGCGCTGAATTATCCATAAAAGCGTCATTGGCAGATAATCTAAACTTGATCAAAACTAGCATATTTTAGTTTAATACTTATTTTACACTTCATTTAGTCGCAACTTTTGTTTTTGACACTAATTGAAGAATATTTGTTTATTTCTATATCTTGTTAACACTTTCAATTTTAGATAACACAGTATATAAAGTCAATTAAATTTTATGTGTAATAGCGTTAAGAAATATATAGCTTTAACAAGTAACCTTTTGTTAACATGACAATTAGTACACAAGATTTTACATCATTTTCTATTCATGATCACATGCTATCTGAGAGATGTTATTATTATAATTATGCTATTGTAGTCAATGCTATGTAGATATAGAACAGATCAGAACAGAACAGAACAGAACAGAATAGAAAAAAATATATAAAATATAAGTATCACCAGGCACATGTAATTAGTTTACGAATAATTATGAGGCATGCATAGTACATAGAACTTGAACATACAGAATTATCATGTCCGTAGTTTAGTGACTGAAACAATAAGTGTGATTGCTGATTTATGTAATATCGTGATGTTTGGAACAATCATGACACGATAAATTCATTTACAACTTGGTTGACTGGTTGAAACAAGAAATAAACATATTCTTTGTTATCAAAATTCATATCAATTGTCTAGGAGTCATAATTTACCATCTATAGCTCGTAATTTCCTAAATACAGCTTGTTTTATATTTCCTAAATACAGCTCGTAAGTTTCCATCTGTAGCTCGTAATTTCCTATATGCAGCTGTAATTTCCTATACGCAGCTCGTAATTTCCCATCTATAGCTCGTAATTTTCTATCGAAAGCTCGTATTTTCCCCCATTTACATCTACAGTTCATTATTTTGCATCCAGAGCTCGTGATTGGGAATCTGCCTATTGGAGTTCGCATCCCAGCACGAACTTGCATAAATTAGCATCATACACTTATTCATTATGTCCATACTTATATCAACTTTTCATAAAAAGATATAACGCATATAATCACGCTTGATATAAAGATTCGGCATTTCAAATAAATGTACAATAAGATATCTAACAAATAGAAAGTTAGTTTTAAAGGAACTCGCTCAGTCCAAAAGTCTGAAAATCATGAAATTCGAGTTTCAAAAAACCTAAGTAGAGTCTCTTTAAATATAAATATATATATACCCTGCTTAGGTTATTTGTTTAGCACATACTTAATGAATGATCAGCTATTTTTTTAATGTTACTTCTTCTACATTGAAAATAACTAAAGATTAAATAATAAAATGATTATTACAGCCAATGAATATCCGACTATTTTATTTTGGCTCATCAAACAATATGAATATAAAATCTAATATACACGTAAATTCAATCTGTCAAAGATGTTTATATATGTTAAGTTTGATTTTGTTTTATGTTCTTAAAACATTCTTTATTTTAATTCATATAGATAAAAGAGATGTATGTTAAAAGTGATGTTTCGAATATTTTTAGCCTTTCCTATAGTAAAAACTGTTGTTACAAAACGTTTTCTTCACTACATTCCAGACTGTTCAAAGTAACAGAAAAATGAAATATGTTATATCTAAAAATGGAACTTTATTTTCTCTTACCTTTTGATTTCTTTCTTTTTCTTTTCAGATGAAATTCCACGACATTGGATACTTCAAGACGTCATAACATTGTTGACTGTAAATGGATTGCATGGAAAAGAATTTTTATGCTGGAATCAGAATGTTGGCAGATGTTTTTTAAACTTATTCTCTTTTATTATTTAATTAAAATATCCTTGTAATAGGATTGAAAATGGAATCTTTATATTTTAAAAATGCTATGCTTGGACTGTCTGTTAAATATCATATCAGATATGTTAAATTTCATATAAGACTACCAATTTTGTTTGAAAATTCCTGAAAAGAAAAGCGGATGACCCATAAACGAAATCACCGCTAACCTTTCTGAAAATAGCATTATTTTGTTATTCTGCTGTCTTTTTGTTGAGTGATTAACGAACGTTGGATATCAGAGGAACATTTTGTTGATATTTTTCATACTTTAAGACACACCTCATGTGTAAGATTCACACACTCCTGGTTTCTTTCCTTCCAGTGTCTCAGATAGACCTCCTAATTCCCTAATGTTGTACAATGTATTGTTTGTATATTCTCATTTATAAGAATGATTGTAAATATAACACATTTACTGTAAAGTTGCATTTCTCCATTGACTATTATATCAGCGTCATTCAGTTTGCTCAATTTTCTGATTTTATTTCTAAGTCATAAGACAATTTACTACATAAGATTTTGTACAAAAGAAACCATCCATTTTTCAATGAGTATAAAGCAAACTGCATCATCTTTCGAGCTTAATTAAACAGAATTTTTAACTTAAACTTTTATCAGAAGTTTCCGAGCAGCAATGTCAAAGGAACTGATGTTTGTGGGGATTTAATTCTTGCACACCATATACGTACCATATTTTCTATGATATGATTACTGTGATATAAAATACTGTGATATGATTAAATTAAATTGATATAATCATGTGATATCTAAAGGAAATGTGATGTAACTATAAAAACATGACCCAGGCATAACGGCGTTTTTATCTTGTTTTATATTTACGTACTTAGACCAACACACACATTTTTCTTTTTATAAATTTCATGTTGTTTAAAGAACTTTTTTTTCTACATATTTTGTAAGCATTGTCCGTGTTTGGTAAAGGATGACTGTAAATCAATTTTTTGTTAATATTTTTATTTTCATATTTTCTTACAATGTATACTATATTTTGTTTAGGTTTGTTTACAAATAATAAATGTAAGTCAATGACTTGTGTTATTGTTCTTTGTCATGCTAGTATGGCATCATGATGTACAGGAGTGTCGATGTCTTACTTTTAGGTCTTTTGAATATCAAAATAGTCACATCTAACTTTAAAGCGTGTCGAAATAGCAAAATAGCCATGGCTGACTGTTATAGGTCTGTCGGAATCAAAATAGCCATGTCTAAAGTTTAGGTATGTCCAATGTAAAGATATCTAACTTTAACGTCTGCTGATAACAAAAAAAAGGAAGAAGAAGAAGAAGAAAAAACGTCTTTTAGGTAGCTTGATATCAACATGTCAAACTTTTAGGTGTGACTATATCGACAAAGTAATATCTAGCATTTAGCTATGTCTAGCCGTGACTTCTTTTTAGCTCTGTCGATGGTCTGAAAATAGCTAGATCCACACAGTTGAACGGAAAATCGGTACACAACTGTTACAGGCATTCTATATACACAAAGTGTGAAATCATCTATAAATATTATAACATCTACAAACTTTGGATAAAATCAGAGTTAGCGGCTTAAAATTGGTCCTGCTGATGAAATACTTACTGGTCTTGTGGTTAACACTTTATTAACCACAATTTTGAATTTGAAATAAACAAGTTTTTCAACTAGAAGCCAGTTACATAAGAAACCTACGTTTTTGGTAGAATTGCTGAGTTTTTAGGCACTGAAAATGCCTACGCAATGACATTGTTGTTACATGTCGGTAATCACTGTCCCACACTAGTTTCTAAAAACAAAGACTTTGTCTCCTTACTGTACAACTTGGTTTTTTTAACACAAAATATTTTGTTGAAACAGGTATGTAAAGTCTTATCTTTCTATTTTCCACATATATTGGTTAACCTCAAACTCAATTTACATCATGTATATTAACAAATCGATCGAATTATGAATGTAACTTTCCCTTTTGTCACTGAAAAAAACAGATGTTCCATGATTTCCATTGAGAACTTCCATAATATAACAACATGGCAACATGCATTTATGTGTACATGTACAAGTATATTAATGATTTTTCCATTAGAAAAGACATACACCAATAATAAAACATTAAAACAAGCTTGGGGCGATGTGTTTTAAGTTTTCAAAAATGACTTCATACAGTTATTAATGTTTTTAAAAAGTTAATTGTGTAGACATTGTACATCAATACGGAAGATAGGTCGTGTCGTTGACTTTGACAGCCATAAAGCTCTATTTTTGTTACTCGTAATCATGATGAAGCTTCTGTCTACGATCAAACGGAATACAGTGTCGAAGACTTACGTGAAGAAATGGAAGAATATACTGATAGATATAACAGTGATCTTGTTGTTACCTGTACCGATTATGCTGCTGTCATGTACGAAGAAAGTAGGTGAGAAATATTTTACTGTCACTGCCGCTCTCCGTGTTCAACTACGGTTCACTTTCTTTTAATTAGCGGCTAAGGGAGCGTGTTGCCTCACTTATTTTCTATAATTTTGTAATATGTAAATCTTAGCTTGTCTCGTTAATCTATCTTTGTGTTAGCTGATAATCCTATATCTACAGCTAAGTTTTGTGTCACTTAGTCGACAAATTAGCGAGAAAAAGGATGCCAGGAAGTTCAGGGATGTGGCGGTTAGTGTTATAAATACGTTATTTCGATGCTTGTAGCAGAAGAAGTCTTAAAATGACACTGAAAATTCCGCAACAAAAGGGACGAATCACCGGTACGTGATGTAAGTGTTGGCCTAGTAGTTAAGGTGTTTGCCTCTCAGGCCACAGGCAATCGGTGCGTGGCTTGGATAGTATACATGTACATGACCACGCCCACTTACTTTTTTATAAAAAAAATTTTTTTCACTAATAAAATATTTTTTTATTCAAAATATTTTTAAAATATCTTATTTTCAATAAATCAACAAAGAAAATTTGTTTTTAAAAAATTTCATCCATATATACTATTAATATAGTAAAGGTAGAAAGGTTCGCCAGCGGACCTACCACCAGGCCTTATGTTACCTCCCAGATCTTTGTTAATTGTCAACCAATTTTCACCAAATAAAGTGCAATCTACGCAGAAATGATTTTTCTTTCGAAAAATGTACAATATTAGAACAGTTGGTACGACAAAAGATGGAATTTTAAAGCAAAAATGCACTTTTTGTCTAGGTCGGCCATCGCTTGACCGAGCCGAAAGTAGACGATTTTGAACATAAATCGATCTTTTTCTTAATAACAAACTATTGTCAGTGCATGCAAACAGTTGAAACAGAAAGGGCAGCTATAATACTATCGCTTACCGGTCCAAAGTTAATCCAAAACGTCTGTAGGTACGCACTTTCGGTAGTTATTTGCACTAACTTTTTAAATTCCCTGACATTACATGTATACAAATGCTGACCCGGATGTATCTGATGCGTACCCCTTTTCGCATAATAAAAATTGAGCGAAGCTGGGTACCAGCGGGAACCGAGCATGCGTACCTTGAATATCCGGATCAGAATTTGTATACATGTACAATGTCGGGAAATTTAAAAAGTTAGTGCAAATAACTACTGAAAGTGCGTACCTGCAGACGTTTTGGATTAACTTTGGACCGGTAAGCGATAGTTTTATAGCTGCCTTTTCTATTTCAACTGTTTGCATGCACTGACATTAGTTTGTTATTAAGAAAAAGATCGATTTATGTTCAAAATCGTCTACTTTCGGCTTGGTCATGCGATGGCCGACCTAGACAAAAAGTGCATTTTTGCTTTAAAATTCCATCTTTTGTCGTACCAACTGTTCTAATATTGTACATTTTTCGAAAGAAAAATCATTTCTGCGTAGATTGCACTTTATTTGGTGAAAATTGGTTGACAATTAACAAAGATCTGGGAGGTAACATAAGGCCTGGTGGTAGGTCCGCTGGCGAACCTTTCTACCTTTACTATATTAATAGTATATATGGATGAAATTTTTTAAAAACAAATTTTCTTTGTTGATTTATTGAAAATAAAATATTTTAAAAATATTTTGAATAAAAAAATATTTTATTAGTGAAAAAAAAAAATTTATAAAAAAGTAAGTGGGCGTGGTCATGTACATGTATACTATCCAAGCCACGCACCGATTGCCTGTGTCTCAGGCCAAGTATTCGGAAACGGACTCGAGGTTGCAATATCTTGTTTCATATTCGAGCGTAAATAATTATGTTCAAACTGAACCTAATATTAGTACTATATTAGGGGAGCGGTGGCCTAGTGGTTAAGGTGTCTGCCTCTCACCCAGAGATTAAAGTTCCCACTATGTTACGGCCACGACATGACACCAGTACTGGTTAGTTTCAGGCAGCGAACTCGAAAGTGTTTAATATAAGTTGCAAGAACTTGTTTCGTTTAAATAAATATGTTTAAACCAATATTAGTACTAAGTTCTTTTTTCTGCCTCGATTCAAATATCGTTGTTAATTTGAAGCGTAGATCATTTAGTGTTTGAAATTAATTTTGAATTGCAGTATTACAACTGAATCGCAACACATTTACTTTGGTAACTCGGCTAAATTTAATCAGTCTATATAAAGTAAATCGGCAGTTAAAACTATATTAAATTGGTCAAGAACGGCGCAGTCCGACTGTGTCTTTAAATAAGACGCTTTATAAAACTTTTACAATAAAACAACGATTTCATGTTTTTACAACTGATTCTATTTTTTAAAATCTCATTATCTCTTGACAGTCTTTATTTCCGTAATGACAAAGTTAAAATAATTTCACAACCAAAACACGGTCAAGATTTTTTAAATGATTCTTAAATCAGATAAATAAGTTTGTACTAAAATATCTTAATAACCTTTCCTTTTTTTAAAGAGCAAAGGATTATCTAAATGATATTTTGCCTTTTGAAGGAATGTTGGATTAAGCCTTAATTAATTTACAGTATTAATGTTATAATTTCATTAAATTCACCTGCAAGATTACGTACCACTGCATAAAATGCCTAGATTTTGAGCAAAGGGAGATAATAAAAATATCTCTAGTTTTTTTATAAACATTAATCAGGAACATAAATAAACAAAATGCTCCTGGTTAAATTATCAAGGCCAGCTTATTCATTGTATAAAAAATAACTTTGAAAGGGTTGTTTAAATACTGAACATTATAAGTTTTCAAATCCGTTATTTCTTTAACACAGAGTTCTGTAACTTATGAACCAGTCAGTTCGAACCCCGGCTCTGCATGCCCGGGGAAAGCGGGGGTTAAGGAGCCGAGTTCAGCTCTTTTTTTTGCCGAAAAATAATTAGGAATGTATCCAACAATTGGCAAAACATACGGGATGACTGTTCCGGGGGGGGGGGGGGGGGGGGGGGGGGGGGTAGATGTTACCAGGACTTTAATTGTAAATCCAAAGCCCCACTATGGGAATAGGACGGGTAACAATTAACAAATAAACTGCCCGTAGAATAAATACCTGGCTCTGTTTAAACAATTCTGCCTGTAAATTGATTTACTTCGGCGTACCGGAAAAAGACATCGCCAATACAATAGTATCCTCTTTAATGTAACTGTATATGCATTACAGAGTTTCAGATGTACTAGTTTTTGTCCTATGAAATCAAGGTCTTTCAAAAAGTTCTGATGAGTTTGAATAATTAATATTAACAGAGTCGTTTGCATTTCAGTCAAAGGAAAAACCGCAAACTGTTCTATTTATAGCTACACAAACCAATCAGTTAAACCAATATTGGATCACTTCAGGTAACATAGATCGGTCAATGTACACCATCCTGACTGATGGATTGATTTATCGTGTTGGTTTAATATTGAAATACCAATACACCTTCATTATATATTAATAGCCGATATATTTTTTTCAGTAAATAATTTATTCGTTACCTGCCAACTTCGACTGAAATTTCCAAATATCTTCGCGTTATATATAATGATTTATATCTGTAAATCATATTGATTACATTGAAGATCGATACGCCGACCTTGCTAGCGGCGATTCTATGCCAATTTTACAGGATTATACGAAGTTTCATGGCCAAATAAGTTTCGTGTTTGTAATTTGTATTACAGGTAGTAAAATATGTAAGAAAACACCGTGTCCATTCTTGTACATTAAGCTGATTAAAGATATTTACTTACTTTTGTCTGTTTATGTGTATTTACTTATCTTGAAGATTTCTGAATGGAAATGTAAACAGACGAATGCGGTTTTTTGTATAATTATTAAGACAAATTAGCTCGCGATTCCTCAGATGAATTACCGGAGTAACCGGAACTAGTATATTACGTGTAGAAATGGCGTCCACGTTCAGGACGCGATGGAATTTACAAGTTCTTTTAATAATCATGGGAGCAATTGTAGTTTCTTATACATTAGTGAGACTTGGTATTATAGGCAAGTACATTTAGTTTACTGCGTGTTTATTTTTTCCTTCCTGATTGTTGTTGTTGTTGTTGTTGTTCAATAGCAGTTTGTCAGAGAATATGTTCCTGGTCTCTTTGTATATTACAGTCTGCGAATATTTCCAGGTTTTTGAGACTTATGCATATATATTGTGAGATCTTTTAATTGGTGTAATGGAATAATGATAAGCTTTAATTCTAAAATAAAAAGAAAAGAAAAGGAATAATAGAATAACCAAAGTCTTACGTAAATCCTGAAAAGTTTAAATACAATTGCTAGATCATAAATTATGATAAATAAAATACATTTTTATTTATAATTACATGTATAGTGCACAAATTGTCGGGTTGACTAGCGTTACGTCGCATTATATTAACTACGACGTGAAGTTAACCCGTGCATGGTAAGAACCTATACAGTGGGGGTGGAGGTAAATATTGTTTGGAAATCAAATACCAGCATGAAAAACAAAACAATCAGAACAGAGAGGTCTTACTTCTTTTTTCTAACTTCAAAACAACGAGCATTCAAATGTAAACATTTCAGTTTATGTATTGCGACATGTTTTGGTTTAGCTAATATTAAATTTCTTTGTGATTCCAATCGGCGGAATAAACACGCCTGTTTTGTTAACACTGCGATACTATCACAGATTTTTCTTACAATTTATATACAGTTTACATTTCTCATGGGTATGTAATCATTTGATTATGTTTAAAGTTAAAAGGCTTCCGTCTTACAATAATCTTTTTGAAGTATTGGCCAACATTGTCACACTTCTAAAGAAAGCGCCGGATTACCAAGATTTTTTTGCTGCTCATTTCGACGCTTATTTGATTTTACCACCGAAACATTTTCAAATTTTACACGAGCGTAAACTTGCTATATTACCTATATTTTCACCCAATATTTAACCGCGGGATGTCCTCATAAAAATGAGCGGATACCCCTTCTTATCTTAAATTATCCTAAAGACTTAATTTTATAGATTTTTGTCCTGTAGAATGCGTTATTACAGTATTGTTTGATTTTATTAACCTGTCAATTCCATACTGATTATACAGTCAATGCACAGAATATATTAATATTCGATAAATGTTCGGTAAATTCCGTGAGATGTGCGCAGTAAGATGTGATTAAATTCATCTTGTTTTTATGAACTAGTTACACTGGCCGTTATAGTGCAATAGGGTAAACCACTGGTATATTTTATCTGAATGTTCAACGTGTTGTAGGATCGAGACAGAGTATGTCCAGTATTTTTTTTATTCATAACTATTTTCAACATGTTTTTAAGTTATGGTTGTTCCGTTTTTAATATGTTTTGCACCTTTTTGTAAATACTATACATTTGTATATAACAATGTTTAAGAATAAATACTGAAAATTAATTCCGATTAAAATCAATAAATGTAATTATACAATATAAAATGTGACAATTCAGTGTTTCTTAGTTGGTTCATATCCGTGTAGACAAATTGCAAGCGCTTGACCATTTTCATTAAAATATACTTAAAAAAAGAAAGAATAAGTCTAAAAAGAATGTCAAAAAAGGGGATCGAACCTCGGACCCCTCATGCATTAGGTAATCACTTAACCAACTGTGCTATTGCGGATGTTACAAGAACCTACATTAATCTAGTGAGAGTTTTCCAAACGTAAGTGATATACTCCATATTAATTCTCGTAAAATAAACGGAAAAAACCGAAGTGGGATCGAATATTTAAATGAGTGCTATAATGTATTCATAATTGACAGGTCAATAAAATCAGACTATATAAATAATTGATTATACGAATCACTTAGTGATTTTGTTTTATCTCAAATTGATCCATACAATTAAATACATTGAAATAATATTTTAAGCCAAGCTAAGGAAACATTCTTCACGTGCTATGCTTTAACACAGGGACAATAAAAAAATCAGTGTGCAATACTTTATTGTAAATAATTGATCAAATTTTTCATCCATGCTTCAGCATGACATAAATTTTATTCTCTTCCGAAAATGTGTGTGCTTAATGAGGGTCCATCCGCCCTTTCGGGCACAAAATGCAGCTTTCGCTGTCGAGTACGGACCCCGGACATGTCACCAGTCATGTCCTTAAAGAGTTAATTTTGAAGCACAAAGTGGTGATAATTTACCTCCATGCAATTTCCACGGAGTATTAGCCAAAGATATGAATTTTGAGCCAAAAGTAGGTCACTGTACGGCGGTCAATGAGAACCTAAATGTACAGTAACCTGTGACAATATAAAAGGGTAGCCCTGAAAAGGGCTGTTGGTGCCAGCAAAAGGCCTGCCTTACAAGCCGTCTATCTGTACTAGGGGCTCACGCACCCTAGCATAACATCCTCGTCGTCTCAGCCTACTTTGTAGGGCCACTCCCCTCGGCGTTAGTCAGGACACCGGCAGCTGGTCCGCAGTTGTTGACGAAGTAACGATCCCGTTGTTACAGCATACGGGGGGCTTCTATTTAGTTGAGTTGAGTTTGCTACCAGCCAAGCTGTAAATCTTCTGCCGATGCCCTGTGCCTTCTCAGTGACGTGCACGCTCCGAGGGGAAGTGAGAAGTCTTCCGATAATGAACCACCCAGTTACATTTATACCCGACCTTAAGGTCATATTATCATGTTATTGATTCAGTCGATTGTAAGTGACAACACATTATTTCTAACTCTCTTCCGTGTTGAAATTCTAGAATATGTTTGCTGCAGTTGTATCTATAAAATATTTATTCACTGTGGCAATCAATAATCCGAGTGGGAGACACCCTCAGTTGTGTCATAATTCAGATCATTCTTTATTAAACGGTAACAGAAATATCAATTCAATTCTTTAATATTCAGACTTAATGTGTGTACGGAGTGCTCCGGTCAAAAGTTTCACCCCGCTTAGACTGTTAGATACATAGTCTGATAGTCTGGTCATACCTTTGATGTAGAAATAAATCCTTCAGAAAAAAAGTTCCGAATCTATAACAGGACACGACCAATGCACTAATTCAGCCTTGTAAGGGATCGAACTTGCAAACCTTGGTCTTAAGACAATCCCTGCTAGTTTAGTATATTCGTAAAGACATCAATCTGTAACTATACCAGATATTAATCATAATTGACAGTTTATTCTGTAACAGGGCTGATGTTAAAACTTGTTAAGTCATTTGTACCCTGGCCAACGATATAACGTCAATGTAAAGCCTGTGTAAATTCGGAAAAATGTCCGTTGCTGTTTGTAATCAAAATAAGTTTTTTTTTCTCTCAATTTGTTAAAATCGTCAAGATCAATTAACGTTATTCCTACTCATGTATACACTTATATAATGTTTATAATAGTAGTACCAGCAAATTATAAAAAAATAAGGTCAATTTTCTCATCCTATCACCGTAAATCTTTGAGCAACTGTCCGGTACTGTAGGTTTGATCCGTACGTGACTTTCTTCCGACAATAATAAAATCTAGCTATGTAAAAATCAAATCTGAAATAACAAATTTTTATAACATAGATACTGGTTTGGGCTTGGTTACCTAGGTTTGGGTCATCGATCAAAGTTGATCGTTAACAAGTGTTCTACTTATCAGATCTTCAAAGATTGATCAAGTTTAAATTCTTTTATGAAATCTGATCTTTAAAATTAGATCTAACAAGAGAAATGGCATGTAAAGAAACGATATACTCTTTTAAACAAGTGTCACTACAAATATTTTCATTGTTATTGTAACAAATGGGAAGTTTAGGGCATGAATATAGTGGGTCAGTTATGTTGTTGTTGTTATTATTATTATATGATTTGTTGTTGTTGTTTTGGAAGCAAAGTAGAGCTTCATTATGATAATCTATAAAACAACGCTTGTACTTTTGTGTTGGGGAAAAACTTTCATAAACTTAAGCTGAACATTATAACGTGGAACACTTTTAAAAAATGACATTATACAGCGCTATGTCCCAGAATAATATACATGTAAGCTATTTAAAATACCCCCCTGTATTAGCTTAAATAATAAGTGCGATATTGATATTACATTACACCATGAATTTCTTATGACATTGCTGTAACTTATTTGCACTACATTTAAAGTATTACATGAAAAATACCTGGTATATGTTCTGACAACCTCGAACGAGTGTTTTTCTCGTATCTTATTTCTACTAATTAACTGATTAGTGAACAAGATTTTGTCGTAGATATAAACGACCCCTTATTTTATCAAATTTATAGAACGGAAAATATAAAACTGTCAATTTTGCACGTGTCTGTAACGGGTGTTTCAAACCAAGTAAAATTGTTCGTCATTTTGTTCGTTATAACAGACATATCATGATTATGTAAACATATCGTCTGCGTTATTTCAGAGGTTCCAGATGCCAGTGCCAGACAGTGCCCGGAGTCTGCGCGTCTGTCCGCGTTACCTGATGATAATAAGAAGAAAATTGTCAACTACCCTTTAGTCGACTCGGTCAGGTACCTGAACCGGTTAGGCCTTCAAGACATCGGAGACTTAAAAGAAGCAGCCGAGCCTGTGGTTGTCACGGCAACGTCAGCCAATCATATCGCTCTAGCTACAGGACTGATCGATAGGTTATCTGCTAACATGACACCAAAACTGAAAATTGTCGTATTTGATGTCGGCATGACCGAGGATCAAAGGAAAAAGGTAAATAAAGCCGGATTTGTTTACATATCACTAGTTTAAAATAATTATTATATTGATTTCAAATAAAGGTAATTTTTTATCTTAATGTTGGAACATTTTCTTTCTTTGATATGAACATTTGCTTTTAAAGACACATCGCGACCTGCCATTGCTCTTTCTAAAATATTGTTTCCAAAAACAAAGCAAGTTGTCCAACTTGTGGGGTGTATCTACAATGTGCAGAAGAAACTATAATTTTTCGTAATTTGACTATAAATACTAAGACTTACACACATTTTAAAAAAAATGAAATGTCAACGCATATAACACGTGTCATGGGGAGCCTTTAAGTATAAAATACCGCTCATCCCTTTCATACGACCAAAAAGGTGAATAATATAATAAATATAAACATTAAGATATATCACGTTATGCTTCATTTCGTGTGATTTCGAAATCTTTCGGGTTTTTTTCTACATATTTTTACATAAAATTTGTCGATTTAAATCGATACTGTATATCATCAAACGTGAACTATGACATCAAAGGTGGTGAATTGGCAGTATTTACATAAGATATCTGTTCATGCATTGAATCATGTTTTTACCGATAACATTAACTAACCAACTAACACATTACTTTATTTTTGTAATCGCGTCCTTCATTTGTGTTTCAATGTCCGTATCAGTTTCGTAACCATGCCTTTCTGACTATAGAAGCCACTTCCATCAGTCTATTAGCCACTTCCGTAAGTCTAGTAACCACTTCCGTCATTCCGTTAGCCACTTCCTTTAATCTAGAAATCTCGCCCTTCATTCTAGTAGCCACGTCCTTCGGTGTAGTGTCAACTTCCGGCAGTCTAATAGCCGCTCTCTTAAATTCAGCAGCCACTGCCGACAGTTCTTTATCCATCTCATTCAATTTTGTAGCCACTTCCAGGAGTCTGGTAGCCACTTCCTTCAGACTAGTGGCACGTGCACATCTATTTGTAGAACCTCTGTCTTTAATCATTCGTCACGTAAAATAATTTACTGGCGGTACTTGAACTTATACAGATAAGTAATGCAAAACCAGAAACACTAACCGCTCATCAACGATGACTTTCGCTATTGGAGTACATAAAAAGCAAACTTTATATGTAAATTATTATTTCAGATATGTGAAGGTGGGAAATGTGTTCTAAAACAATTCCCTTTCGACTTGTATCCAGATTTCCTTGAGAATTATCTACCGTCACATGCGTGGAAACCGGTCGTTATTCAGGTAATTTATAAAAACATTTACGCTTGTAACCTTGTTGGTTATTGGTCAATTTCGACATTTATATAATCTGATAAATAGCTGCTGTAATGTATAAAATTACATATATTTCATTTTTTTTAAAAATTTTCATCCAGTAATTGGGCAGTTTTAAGACTGGTGATTCATTACATAGTCGTATATTAACGGTCAACGGCCTTTAAATTCGGCCTATGTAAGCTTGCATCCGCTTAAACTGCCCAACAAAACCTGTTAAATATCTTTATATTAACTTAAATATTAACATAAAGTATATAATATGTTTTATTTTCCATCAATATCCGTTACATATTTTCTTTCTTTGATAGTATTTTGTTCTTTTATTTAATTCATCTAACACTGTTAATGTTGGGTAGCGTATTTCATTGAGTTCATTTAAAGTCGTTTTTAGAAACATTTATTTGGATGAAAATGATGTTATATTACTGTCCGAATGTTCAAATTACAGATGGCGCTTCAAGAGTTCGGCTTTGTCATTTGGATGGATTCGGCTGTTTACATTCCCGATGGCAACCTTCAGGGCGGAATCGACATTGCGAGGAGAGAAGGGATCGCTGCCGGGCACAAGCTTCTCGGAAACCCGGATGTTAATCTAGCATACGAAACAAACACAAGAACTTTCAAAGCCTTAGGGGAAGAGCCATGTGCTTTTAAGAACACATTCCGATTTAACGCCGCACTGATTTTTATTAAAAGAAACGCATTTACATACAAATACATAATGAGACCGTGGGTGTCATGTGCGCTTACAAAAACTTGCATTGATGCGGATAGCACGTTCTATTCAAAATGCGCATTTGCAAATAAATACGGGTTTTGTCACAGATTTGACCAGTCTGTGCTAAGCATCATTCTAAATAGACTGTATTATTTACACACTGATAAAATAGATTTAAAAAATAAAGTGAAATGGACCAAATGCTATATAAAACAAGAACTTGCCAACTTTAACGAAATGGTGTTTATAAAAAATGAGCAGAATGGAATACAGTGTCCACAGCCAGAAACCGTGAAATAAATATCAGACAAAACAACTTGGTGCTCCTCATTAAAATAATAGACTGATTACGACACAGGGTTGGGCCTGTTTTCAGGTCATGTAGTGTAATAATTGGGTTGAATTTAAATAGTCACGAAAGCATGTACATACTGTATAGACCGTGCTATTCTTGCCTATATTATTTATAAAATTTTAGCTGAGGCTTTGGATAGCTTAAAGTTTATATTTCAACCTTGTTTGGAAATATTAAATATGAAGCTAATATTTGAAAATAATAAAAAAAGGACATGCTAGTCTTATTCAGTAGATTCTGCCTTTCTGAACCACATAGTCATTTTAAAGTGAATTGGTTTACACTAGATGATCTGTAATATCATAAATAATTATGTTGGTAGTATTCAGATCTAGATTTGTGTTGGTTTGGATCTGTTTGTCCTAGTTAGTATTCAGTATCATACACAAAAGAATCATATATATGGATCTATGCATGATCCAATGCGACATAAAAGTATATAATAAATGATAAAGTGTTCTAGAACAAAATATTTATTATTATTATTATAATTATTATTATTACTGTTTTTATTATTATTATTATTATTATTATTATTATTATTATTATTATTCATACATGTATACGTACATGTTCACTTCAGAAATATTCCAAAAGTATTTCATAAGATTTTCCAAATTATGTATTTTATTTTATAATGTCTTTATAAGTATTTGGAAAACATGCTCATTGTAGATCAATCCACTTTAAAGATAAAGTCTGATTCCGTCGAACTGTGGAGTTATATGATCTAAGTATGTGTGATTATGTTTTAATTCCGTATGTTTGAAAAATGATAACTATGACCTTATTCAGTATGACTGTAATGTATGATTGTATGGCCTGAAAACGTGTGGTTGTGTGGATATGTTCTGATATCTGCATTCGGCTATGTTTCAAAGCGTGCGTTTTCTTATCAAATATGAATCAATTAAAGATATTAAAATCAATTAATTAGGGATGATTGATTAATGACGTGATGTCACATTGTTACGTCACATTATTTTAATTACATGTATGGATGCGTGAATTCCTTTTTATTTCTTGACAATGTCTCTGTTTGATAATTCTTGATACATGTAGTATGCCCTTCTTTTCTTTCTACATGTATTTCAAATGTGCTCGTTTAATGCCTTTTTATATGTTATTTAAATGCATTATATATATATATATATATATATATATATATATATATATATATATATATATATATATATAATATATATATATATATATATATATATATATATATATATATATATATATTCAAGTCATGCCCGGCTTTTTTATGAATTGCTAGTCCTGTAGTTGCCAATAACTTTAAAGAAATAATTGGACATTTATACTGATATATATATATATAGAAATAATTGTTTATAAAGGGAAAAAAAGACTTGCTGTGTGTTTCTTTATAACAGTTATCAAAGTTCAATATTGCTTTCATTATGTTTTATAACTGAAGAGTATTGTGGGAGGCCGAACTACTGTGCTCATCCGGTCGTATGCATTTTACCTTGATAACCTTTTGCACAACCCCTTTTGAGATTGACCATACGAAGCTAATGAAGAGCTGTCCTACTCTCCCAGGCGTCCGCCTTCGCGTCCAGACTTCTGGTTAAAGTTATTTGTGCAGTCAAAAATTCTTTATTTCTTATGGGATCTACTTTAAACTTTATATGCCTGCTCTTTGGTGACATAACTCTAGCACCAACATTTTAAAAAATATCCACCCTTTTCTTTGACAATTATCATACTATACGTTAAATTCTTTATTTCACAAGGAATTTACATCAAATATATGTTCATATCATCACCCACATAATATGGTGCTTCAAAGTGTTGTCATTTCCATTACACCATAGACATTTCTGTTTGTATTTTCAATTTTACTTTCATTAACATGCATAATATGTGATGCAAAAATTTTGGGCGTTTGAGTGCTTTGTTGATGTTGATACAGAAATATACTTGTATTGTAATTATTATTGTTTTCGTAGTTTTGTCTTTCATCGCTGCCTCCATTATTGAATAAGTCAAGTGTGATGTCTCCCCTGACAATTATTCTAGTTGTCATTAAAGTTATTGACAGACTGCGTTAAAACTTTATAATATATTGACTCGCTATTGGTCAGCTAGTATTAGCCACTAGCTGATAAGCCCCGCCTAAATTCACCTGACATCGCCTCTCTGTAGTATCATTAGTACATAGATTTAGAAACCGATTGGCTGCGTTATTTAATCTCGTCCAGTTATATAGCAGACATTACATTGGCGAAAGTAAGAAAAATGGACTCGTACAAAAAAAACACAAAAGAAATGAAGAAATACGCAGACAGGCATTTAAATACTCGGATAATAACATATAAAATTGGACAGAAAGTGCTTATTCTAAACAAACATCAAACAAAAATACTCAAAATGGAATAATGAAATATACATACTTATTGGACAAACGGGAAATCAAGTGAAATTAAAATCAAGACACAATGACATTTTGAGAAGGCATATCACTCAGATCCGTCCATTTTATCAGAAATAAACTGTCAGACACATTCTCAATGAAAACAAACTGCCATTATACTAAGAAAATTAATGACATGTCTTTTTAATTAAATAGCAACAAACGTTATCTTTCAAACTGCTAGAGAAAACATTCACTATACAAAATATGTCATTTCTATCCACAGTATACAACAGAAATATTTTTCTTCTTCTGGCCTACGATATACTGCCATTCGCTAATTAAATTATATAAGATAGTGGGAACTTTGACCTCCGACACCTTAATATAGGGCTCATCGTGAGGTCGGGGGTAGTCCTGACTCCCGACCGCCACTTGGGGAGTGCACCTGGCACGGCCTGGGGCGCGTATCATCACAGGAAGACCTTATTGGAGCTTCCATGCCCCAGGTCGTGCTCTGGTTGAGTTCAGAACTTTTCTCTAAAATACATTATAAATTATATTCAGTCCACTTTGCATTAAAAAAAAACAACAAAACACTTGAATATTAGGTAACTTAAACTAAAAGGAAGTAAATCTTCTATGTTAAGCTATTTTTGTTATCTCCCCTCATCTGCCTTTCGCACTCCATAAAATTGAGATTATTCAAATAACCATGGAATTTCTATACCCTATCTTTTTATGCTCCCCGGAAAATTTCGGGGTAGCATATAGTCGTCGGGTTGTCCGTCCGTCCGTTCGTCCATCAGTCAGTCCGTCCGTACGTACGTCCCGAATTCGTGTCCGGCCCATAACTTTTTTGTTTAAAGTCGGAATTTACAGCTATTTCACAGAAATGATCACAATATTAAGACGACGTGTCGCGTGCAACATTTGGGTCGCTACCTTGAAGGTCAAGGTCACAGCATGACCTTGCAGCAAAATCATGTCTGGCCCATAACTTCGTTATTTGAAGTCGGATTTTACAACTATTTCACAGAAATGATCACCATATTGAGACGACGTGTCACGCGCAACATTTGGGTCGCTACCTTGAAGGTCAAGGTCACAGCATGACCTTGCAGCAAAATCGTGTCCGGCCCATAACTTCGTTATTTGAAGTCGGATTTTACAACTATTTCACAGAAATGATCACCATATTGAGACGACGTGTAGCGCGCAGCATTTGGGTCGCTACCTTGAAGGTCAAGGTCACAGCATGACCTTGCAGCAAAATCGTGTCCGGCCCATAACTTCGTTATTTGAAGTCGGATTTTACAACTATTTCACAGAAATGATCACCATATTAAGACGACGTGTCGCGCGCAACATTTCGGCTGTTTTTACATTTTGAACTTTGTCTGTGACATAACTCTGACAATACAAGAGGTATACCTTCCTGTGTCCAAAACCTATTCGGAGAGCATCACCCGGTTCAACCGGCTCTTGTTTGTTATTGTTTAACATTCGACTTCTTCAGGGATTTTAAGTTCATGAACTTTTAGCTACTTGCATGTTATTCTTCTGAGAAAAAGGCAGATGCAATATATTGACTCGCTATTGGTCAGCTAGTATTAGCCACTAGCTGATAAGCCCCGCCTAAATTCATCTGGCATCGCCTCTCTGTAGTATCATTAGTATATAGAGTTAGAAACCGAACTGCTGCGTTGTTAAATCTCTCTACTCATGCTTGTCCAGTAACTATGATATAGCAGACATTACATTTTCATTGGTGTGTAAAGGTGCATGACTATGCCAATTACATGTACTGGCATACAATTTGAAACCTAGATTTATCACCCCATTCTTCTTTTTTTTCCTCAAAAAAATATAAATAAATAAAATAAAATAAAATACACAAATCTTCCATGGACTTCGTTTTCCCGACCTTTTCAAAAAAAACAAACAAACAAAACAAAAAAAAAATGTACTGTTATCAAGCATCGGAAAAACTTAATTTTTACATTGTTTAGATAAATCACAAAATTGAATACACACGCATGTGTACATGTTCATGATCAGATGCAGCAATTAAAATGACGGATACATGTATTACATATCTGAAATACACTACACAGATCATGAACGGAAAAACAAAACGTGTAGAGTGAGAAAGAAATTGAAATACGATAAGCACTTTTATCTATTGAATAAGTGTCAAGAACAGCTTTACACAACTGTATATAGGAAAAAAACAACACATTTAAAATAAACATTATTTACTTGTGTTTACCGTAAACTAATCTAAAACTTGTGTTACACATACATTGATTAACGATTAACATAATCTAATACTATAATGACTCAAATCTTATCTGTAAACATAAACTTAAATTCAACATAAACTGTCAATTTCAGCAGAAACAATGACAATTCAAATAATCAAATGTTAACATAAACACGCAATATCAATGCAAATAATAAAGTTTGAACATAAACACAATGTCAATGCAAAACAATCAAATTGTAACATAAATATACAATTTTTAACACAATTTCTAACATAAATTTTTACACAAACAATGAAATGCCAACATTAATAGACATAATTTCATAAACGATAACAAAATAACATTCTAGGTGTAAACTATAAAGAAACAGGCTTTACTAATCTGTCAATTTTAGTATTTGAAAATGACTTAGAACAGATTGTCATAACTTCAACAGTACTTAATGTTTATTTTTAATTAGAAATTGAACAGTACCACTCAACATTGACTATTTAACATTAATAAGGAAAATGCCAAGCTCAAATTCGTTTTTAAAGAAGACTAGCTAGGTATACTTCAAAATATCTAAAGCCATCAAACTTTAATATCAGACCAGTAAAACATACGTGAAACATTCCTATTTTTCTTGGGTCTTAGGTCATAGGTTAAATAGTGGTTGTCCTGCTTTACTGGTGGATGAAGACCTTAGGCGCCCTTCCGTGCAAACAGGCACCTAGAAAAGATGTCTAAAAACATAGTCAAAGCAAACTTAACTAACATAACTGAATATGTTAACGATCGAATATGGATTTTGCAAAATACAGTTCATTTTTTACAGAGCGGCCTTCTATACAGCTATAACTCTGTTACAAAAGCAGTTTATAACATTCTCCCTAAAGTAATCCTTTGTCTAATATCCAAAATATTTCGTCTTCCACTGGATGGTGTTCTAAATTAAAGAGTCTTCACTGTATTCGTATCTGTTAAAAAAACTTGAACAAACATGTCAAATGAAATTGTGAAACACTAAAACAATCATGGGATTTTTGGAGCCAGTTTGCCCGGGCATGCTTTGTTAATATACATTCTAAACAGTTTAACTTAAATTGTATAATACAAGTTGTTGGTAGACACAGAATGTAGGTGATGTTATATATCTTTCTTTACCTCTGTATGTATATGTAAATGATAAAACATTTGACTCCTTATTTTCAGCATAACGTATGCCATTCAGGTTTCTTTCCTTAATAAAACCAAACATTTATTATTTTTGATGGACAAAATCAGTTAAGGTTGTGGTGGAAGGACCATGTTTTCAAATATCCGCTCCATCAGATGAGGTAAGTACATTGCATTCTGTTGCTGCATATATTTCCACACCTCTATCATGTCGGTCTGGTTCGAGCAAGCCGCAATCATAAACGTGCACGTGGTCAGTGTCTCCCGGAAGCATTTAATCACGCGTTTACCATGGAGATCATACTCTACACCTCTACCAAACTGGGTGTACGTCAATCCGGGCACGTTCTGTAGAACCACACCGTACAGATATACATCTTCCAGCCAAAAGAATGGTAACATTTTGGCAGATTTCACAAGAGCCGGGACAATATCGTTTGTCATAAATACAGCTGGCCCTTCACAATAAACCGGAAATATGACGTCACCTCTGAACTCGTTCTCGTTTATAAACCATTTCAGTTTCTTGTCCCTCAATATTTGACTGTGGGGGTTTCTATAGCAGTAAAGATGGCGTTTCTGGTTGAGGATTGTTTTAGGAAGAATGTGTGTGTACAATTGTTTCATGTTTAGTATCATGTCATCATCGGCCTTTAAAACGATCTTAGCGTTTCGGCAACGCTCTGCCACCCATTTGAAACCCATCGCACCTTTATGTGTTAAGTTGAAATAATGGTCGACAAAGTCCCCTTGAAGAATGTCGCCATATTGCTCGAATTCTTCTTCGATCATTTTCTGAAGAGTTGCGTTTGAAGTTCTTCCTAAAAGCCAGACAACTTTTGTTGTACCCAGACCTTCGTAGTTAGAGTTATTCAGCCATGACCCTCTCATAATTTGTCGTCTGTCAAAATTTGCCGGAGCTGTGTAAGCGGTCACTATCAAAGTTAGGTTTTTCACAGAAGTACACAAATGTTTATTTTCCATTAAATATTCTCGATGTAAAGTTATAGGCACATATTTTGTCCCAATTAACGTGTCTAAACCTGGTTTTAATGTGACCTTTTCAAGATCATATTCGCCTTCATCCTCAATATCTGTCCCATTTTGATACTGATTTAAATGTTGGAGATTATAGTAAACTATCGCGTGTAGTAACCAGATGTTTCCAAGAACGCATAGACTAAGAATGATTTCGTATCTTCCCTTTGATACCCTCATCCCAGCTATTTTTAGCCTTGACAAACGTTTACTGACCTCTTCCAGATGGCCCAAGCCAATCTCTTTCCAGCGTGTTATGTCCTCTTTTGAGAGCATGTTTGTCTAGTTTCTATTTTTAATTCTATTCTAATTAATGTTCAGTATGGTACTCTTTGACTTTTAGGAAACAAATGAGCTCTTTTCAATCTATTGTTTATTGTTTCTTGTTATAGAGTAAATTTTGGCGAGTTTAGATATTGATATTGTTTGTCGGAAATAAATTTGACCGTAGCATTGACCTGAAAGAAACAACACATAAAATTTTAAAGAATCAATAAATTACACTAAATCATTTAACAGATAAGTTATACTGATGTTCTGAAAGCTGGACATTTAAAGGTGCAATAAGCCACATAGCAATTGATTACGATAAACATATAGCAAACTTTATAATGTTTTAGTGATGGATTTAGAACCTTTGGGATGGTCAGGTCCAGTCATTGGCTTTATTTGTCCATGTCAATTGTCAATAAAAAAAAACTCTTAACATTTAAACACAGGTAGGACATCAACTTAATCATAAAACTTGTCTTAAAACCATTTCCATACGAAATAAAAATTATTTACCGACAAGTCTCAATTGATGATAAATATGATTTTTGTAATTAAATTGAATCAAACCAAGTTTATAACTGAGACAAATGTCCCACTCGTAATAAGATGTTAAAATTTACGGAACATTAACAAAGGCTGAGTAAGGTGGGAGTCACGGTCTAACTCCCTAGTGTATGCATATTTTTATCAAAAAATAAACATCGGTGAAAGGAATACCATGTAACATTAAAGTATCTTAATGTTAACATAGTCGTATTTGTCTTCAAAAAAAAATATCTGAAGGCCAATAAAACAATAAAAAAATGGTTTAATAGCTTTATTACTGCGTAGTTTTGTAATATTTCGGAACATATAGTAGAACACTAAAATACTTAAGCAATAAACAAGAAATAAGCTTTTGAGAAGTGAACGTTTTGTTAGAATGTGTTAGTAAAATTTCAGTATCATTCTCGTATATTTAAATAGTTAAATATTAATTTTAAAAAAATAAAAAGCTCCATCTTACCTTATAGTGAATGTAAAGAATTTACTTTCTCTAAAATATTAATTTCCTTGCTGTAAAATTTGAATAGTTCCTGATTTTGTCTGCCTAGATTTCTTAATAACTTAAAGATTTAGATGAAAAGTAATTATATCAGATACTTAATTTATATCAACACGTATCTCTTTGTTAACAGAGAAAAAAAAACCAGGAAAAAAGATCGCCAAAAAAAAGAAAAACAAAGTAAAACTCAAGGATTTGAAGATATGTGATATTTTACAGAATATTCGATAACCAAATGTTGCATTTGGCGATATAACTTCAAGTTCCTACGTTCTTGTTGAGCATATGTTACAGTATCTCGTTGACGTGGAATACGTCAATATATCAATTATAATTTTCTCTCAAGATATTACATTCTTTCAATAACAAAATAACGTTTCATTACCAACACATTTCTGTATATTGTTTTCAGTTTCATTGAGACGAAAACCGTTTACTTTGTGACGTGCAAAACACTATTATCGACACGTGGTTATATACACCAAGAATTCCCGCACCTCATTCGCATCTTGTCCGTGTTTTGCCGTTACTCTTCGGGTGAGATTATGAATAATGGCCGAGATGTTTTGATTGCCCGCACCCACGTCGTCTGCGGAAACGCAGATGGAAAAAAAAAAGATTTTCGCTGTATATTAACAGATATAACAGACCTTTAGAATTTTGATTGAAAATAAAAAGTTCAAATAATTAATAAATCAATTGTAAATTCATGTTAATATATAAATAAGCTAATGTTTGGTCGATAGGCAATGCAGTAGGAATGCTTGTGTTTTTTTTTTCTTTTAAGGAGTTCCGAACTAAGGAAAGAATTTTTTATACGTACATAAAAGTTTGGAATGTATGTATGTATATAGTCTATGTGAAAATGAGGGTCCATCTGCCCGCAAGGGCACAAAAAGCAACTTTCGCTGCCGAGTACGGATGCATGACATGGCATCAGTTATTCTCTTAAATGATTAATTTTAAGCACAAAATGGTGATAATTTACCTTCATGCAATTTTCACAAGCCAAATTTTGAACCAAAAGAAAGGTCACTGTGCGGCGGCCAATGAGAACCTAAATGTACAGTAACATGAAACAATATGAAAAGAAGATATCCCTGAAAATGACTGTTATGCCAGCATAAAACTTGCCTTTAAAGCCGTCACTCTCTGTGGTAGAGGCTCACACTTTCCTCGTCGTCCCTGCCTATTGTCACTACCCGCGACTTTAGTCTGGACTCCAGTGAGAGGCGAAGAAGAATGATGTACCAAAATACTGGAAGTTTAGAGTTGTTTCTCCCATTAAATTATGAAAAACACGATCAACATGGAAGGGCGGCATTCACTGAACGCAACTCTTAACACAGCAAGGAGCCGCAAATCTTCTGCCGATGCCCTGTCCCTCCTCAACGACTTGCAAGTAACGAGGAGAATTGAGAAGTGGAAGTCTTCATCTTGTTGTATATACATCACGTCATTGTATATTTTTGCCCATATAGTTAATATACTGTATGTTACAATGGCAACGTTCATGCAAATTGTATTTTGCACGCTATTATATGTGTGCTTGTTTATATGTTTATCACATAAAGAGGTAGTCTACCCCTAATGCTTTACCTCCACTTCAAGTATTCAAATAGGCTAAAATCACTTGTTATATGTATTGAAACATAGGGGCGTAGGTTCATACACCAGAAGGGGCAAATATTTTTCTTTCTTTTTTCTTTTTAACATTATTTATGTATCTCTCAGATCACTTAGCGGAGAGTAAAAAGTATTTGATTTTAATTATAAAATTATTATAGGTATTTTTTGCTAAATAATGCCAAATTTAATAGCAAATATGATACCAGATATTTTCAAAGTTTAATAAAATAAAAAAAACTACACTGTAAAAGTATTTCATATTTTGCAAGATCATCCAATATACCTTTAAAAAAAATTAGGCCAACTTTGAAAACAGCCCCTCATTGTGGTAAATTTTAGGGATATTTTTAATAAGGCTTTTAACATAGGGTAACATTTTTATACATATTCAAAACATTTTGTTTAGAAACAATCATTTTGCTCGTGCAATTTGTTACCTGAATGTTATTATTTGTTTCTAAACATTGAGCAACAGAAAAACATTTTTTTCCTCATTTCTGAAAAAGAGCCCTTCTAATAGAAAAGTTTTAGTTCAGAAAAATGCCGATAGCTCATAAACCACATAATAAATTTTGTTATATTTTTGCATACAGGTATTAAGGTATATAACTGCCCTATGTTATCAATTTTACAGTCCCTTATTGTGCCCATTAGGGGGTTTCCTTAACTAAATTGATAATTCAACAATCTTCTTCTTCTTCCTCATCTCTAATACATTGAATTCATTAACAATATCTGTATACAGTTTTCGTAGGTATGTATTCACAAACTAGATTAAAATAAAATAAGTTTCACCTGCTCAATACCAATTACCGCATGACACGACTTAATGTACACGTATACCATTTTTTTGATATAGATATTCATACATCTGTAAAATTTATTCAATTGATATAAAGTGTATCTCTCTCTCTAATTGTTTCATTTTATTGACCAACCAAAATAAACTTCCTTGTATCTAGCGTGTCTTGAAGATTAATCATTGTCGGAATCCACAGCATGTAGTCCATACATAACATGCTGAATATTTTAAATGGACTTGTACCACTTCCATTTTTGGGACTGTCCATTATCAATTTTAGGGATATAAATTTGAATATTTAAAATGATGTGCAGGCTGGCCTGGCTTTACACTGTAGGCAAGGGCTTAACGCTTTCAGCTCCAGCACTTTAAGGGTTAATCAATATTTAGATACTTAAAAGTCCATTATGCCTCAGAAATGCTATCATTTTTATTTCTCAAAACCTGTTAATTTTTAGTCTCTTGTTACAGTTTCCAAAAACATACTTTTTTGTTAGATAGATGGTCAGATGAACCGCCTCCGTGGTCGAGGGGTTAGAGTCGATGACTTCTAATCCAGTTACCTCTCTGGCGTGGGTTCGATCCCTGGGAGATGCTTTGGTAGTTTAGCGCGGAGGAAGGTAGTCTAGTACTGGTGTACCTCTCCAGGAACGATGTTTAGGAAACTACCCGCCTATATGACTGAAATACTGTTGAAAAAGGCGTAAAATGAAACAAACAAACAAACAAAAGATGGTCAGATATCTTTGGCATTTTAAGCTATGATGGCAATTGGAATAGTTATAGTGAATTAGTATTGTGTATGGCAGTCAAAATACTACTTTGTTTACATTTTGCAACCTTTTCAACAAACTAACCAACTGCATGTTCGGAGCTACTTTTTCAGTTGTGAAACATCTCATATGCTCTTAATTCCTTAAACACGTATTTGAAAGAGAAATATAGATTACTGATGCATACTGGGCCTTTAACAGACACTTAATTAAAAAAAAAATCAGTATCATTAAAAATGAGTGAGTCCATTCACACGTGACATTGTATAATTAAGGTAAAGCGGAAGTAGTCAAGTTCTACCGATGATGAAGGATAACGCATGTTTTGCTTAATAATAACCGTCTTTTCATTCATTCATTCATTCATTCATTCATTCATTCATTAATTTATTCATTCATTCATTCATTCATTCATTCATTTTTACTCGTCCCCTATTCAAAATGTACAGTGAATATCTAAAATGTATACAAAACATTTATAATTCATATGTAAAAATTCATTCAACTTGATAATGCTATATCGTCACTGTTTCATTGAAGCGTATTAAAATCCGCGCTGATATGATCAAAACCACGGTTAAATTGTTCATGTCTAAACGCCAGTAATATGTATTTTTAGTACACATCTATGGATATAATATTAAAATATGTGTTTCATTGACGTCTCATAGAAAACCAAAGGAATTAGTACAGATTTAAATTTAAATCTAAGGATTGATTTTGAATAGATAGAAATAAATTATTGTATATGATTCCATCATATGTAAATTGAATATAAATTTTAGATATGGGTTTTGTAAGAAGACTTTTAACTAGACGGTCGAAAAGTCTTTGGACAATTTTTATATTGACGTTCATAAATATGATTTTTATTATCAGGATGACATTTAGAAATTTTCCAGAGGACATTACAATGGATGGTAAGTAAACAGTATATGTACATTTATACAAAGATACCTGCTCGTATTTCAAAATGAGAAGTCAATGTTCGATATCTATGCAAAATTATGCAATAAAATTTCACATCCGGTATATCTTATTATAATTTGTATGAAAGAGCTCATTAAAATTGCAGTCTTTCAGTCATTTTCTTTGCTTTATTTCGTAATTTCGGACTTGCGGTATTGAAATGTTCAAATTATTTCAAGTAAGACATTGACAGTATCATAGCTTTTCTAAATGATTTTTTTTAAATAAAGATACAAATTCAAGCGTAAAATGTATATACATGTAGTTTATTATGGCGTTGACATTTTATAGTACATTTTTATATTCGGAACACATTATTTAACGATATTCTTACTTAAACTGTACTATAAACGTATTTTAAAGTTATTTGTTTTATTTTTATTTGGTATATCTATTACCATTATTAACATATTCATCCAACGTACAAATGAATAAACATAATGATGATGTTGATATAATCATATTGTGTTGCACTAAGAAAAGGTTGTATACTTGCAAAGAAAACAGGCTTTTCCTATAATGTAGGTAATGTAATGTAATGTCTATACACTTTAGGTGGACACAATGTGAATACATCATATATGTCGAAAGGACCAAATTAACAGCTTCCCAAACATAATTGGTGATCCTAGAATTTCCTAGATTTCAATAAATTTCTGCAAAAAAAGTATTATAAAAAATATCTTACTAAAATATGAGCTTTAATGAATTTTTATGCGCCTTGTCCAAGCCATCGGTGTATTACATTCACTTACATATGACAATTTAAAGTATCGCTTATAATACAAATGATACAGTTGCATCTATTAAGATATAGATCTCAGTTGTTCAATATGTTTATTTTATATTTCAAGGTTATCCGAGGGAGCAGAAGAAGGTAGTGCAGTTACAGCCATGCCCACAACCGGCGATGATATCTAAGGATTTCAGTCAAAACCGGAACAAAGTGGGCAGTTATCCCTTAGGAGACTCTATCAAATACCTACCTAAACTAGGGCTGCAGGATTTTGACCACGTATCAAGTTACCTGGGTGACCCGGTTATTGTCACGGCCGCTTCATTTAGTCATTTCACTTTTGTCGACGGGTTAGTTAAAAGACTTATAACTAACATGAAGCCGAAGCTGAAAATAGTGGTTTTTGACCTTAGCTTGACTGAATATCAAAAACGAAAGGTAAAACTTTCATATGATGTTTTTATACCTGTTATATATTAAACAGTATATCAATAGTACCCTAGGTCTGTAGAAAATATCAGAACGGATCAGCCATCCTTGAATACACGATGTTTGAATATCTTCATAAAAAACAAAACAAACGATCATCATATCTCGAAAGATTAATAGTCGAATTTGAAACACCCTCTTCGCAACAACAGCAACGCCCCAATTATAAAGCACGTCGCGATGTATTACCTTTTTTTTTTTAGAAATTAATAATATTTTATTGTATTAATATACGCGCAATATTTTACAAACATAATGAAGTGTACATTGTACATACAAAAGGGATTGACCAAAAATTCTATCAACATTATCGTGGGCCCTTCCCTGCATGTATTGGTTGAAATAAGCTGCAAACCAAAATAAAAAAATTCTTTGAACAAATTCTCTTTATATTATTTGAGTTTTTATGACATCGCCAATATATCAGGCCAAGTAACGTACTTTTTATAAAGAAGGGATGTATACGTATAGGTTTTAATTGATCCGGACAATTACTTCTGGATGATCACTGAAAATTCTTTTATTCAAGCTTCATTCAGAGAAAAACCCATTTATCAAGCGATCATAAATTAGAAGAAAATGAAAATTGGGTGTATTCAGACCCCACGTAGTTTGATGAATTATTTATGGGTAATTCAAAAGCAATTGGTGGCAAAATGGTTCTCGAAGAAAAATGACCCCACGGACACACATTCTGACCAAGAGAATTGTTCGTGCCATGTTGTAACTGTCTAGGCGATTGTTTTCATTATCCCACATCGTTTCCTATATTTTTTTAACTATTTTCTATCATTTTAAACGAAAACGTGACGTAAAATTCATTGTATTAACTATATAAAACTTACGGTGGTATACAGAGGTAACATGCGTGTACTTATATTTATTTCGTGCGCACGACTTAGTAACTCGTGCACATGACTTAATTATCTCGTGGCCACGACTTAGTAACTCATGACCACAACATAGTATCTCGTGCCCACTAGATAAATAAAAACGCAAAGCGTTTATAAATCTTAGTATAAATTTGACATAATCTGAGGTCAAGGTATCAGAATCTTAATTAATCTTTAACCCGCAATTAACCTTTACCACCATCCAGCACTTCCTTGTAGTTTGTCTAGGCTCTAAACTGTTGGTAGCTCAATTATTGTATTTAGATATCGGAATCCCTTAAACTTTGAATGGACTGTTCCAAATTGAAAGCGTTACGCTAGTTGGTTTAAGGTTAATTTCTAATTTTTGTGATTTTTTTTTTATTACATTTCGGTACTGGAACATTTTGTTTTCAATCAGAATTTCTTCCAAGGAATCCGTTTTTTTTTCTTCTCTAGTTGAGACGTGCAAAGAATGAGATTGAATCGAGAACTCTACACAGTTAAGTCACCTAGTCTTAATATTTTACAATTTTACAAAAAAATGTTAAATGGGTTTTAACTTTATGTTTAATGGACAGGATTCATATCAGCGAAATGGCATAGAATTAGTGAATGTATTTAACGTCGACCAGTTTATTTACATTAAAGTCTAAAATATAAATTATAAATGGTAGTTTAAGCGAGGCATTTCGTGTAATCGTGTACCATATGAATGGAGAAATTTTAAGTTAAATGTGTTTTAGGTGAATTTTATTATTCTTAATTGCGGATCGTTTTATTTTGTTAAGATAGTCAATCAATCATAACATCAAAGTAAGCATTTTGTGACGTCTCCAGAAGATTTGTTTTTATTTTATTTTTCGGGTACACCAGTTGTCCAACCTGTAGGGCGACCCTGGATATTTTACGTGCCCAGTGTAGAGCACCGATATATGGGACCTCTATATTTATATCTATATTTATGGGAAAGATCCCCAGGGTCATTGATGATAGTACAGGAAATCGAACCTTCAACATCTGGATTAATAGACAAGCGCGGTATCATTCACAGAACAGCTGTTGTTCTTATCACTTTTTATTATTATACGTATCATAAATAGTAGGTTTTAACCTTTGTTCTAGAGAAAGGTGAATCTTGACGTAAACCTGAAAGAAACGCATATAGAATTATCATGCACGAAATGTAATAAAGATGGGAACATCCACCTAATGAGGAAAAAAGCTTTATTAACCCATTACCAGATATACACGCCTTTAACGCCTTTTTCATCACCCTTTTTGTTATCTCAAATTGTGAAAAATGCCTTATTTAGGCCCCAACACTTGCTTTTGTTTGAGAAATGTTGTTTAAAAAAGTGACCACTTTTCGGCGCCGCCCTCTATCCAAAAGATACATCAGGGGGCTGCCAGAAGGGGGATGTACCCCTTCTGTTTGGGGGTTTGAAGGGGTGGCCCTCATCGCCAAGAAAATTTTGGACTTATGAGAGGCTAGAAATGACCCCAGGTTGATCATAAGGTAACGAGTAACCAACGCCGAAAAGCCTTTGACTTTATCTCAATCCCAATTTTTGATAGAAAAATCCACGCAAAATAGTGTTTTTTTTTGGCAATTTTGAGATGTCCTCTTGTTGCCATGGTAACAGGAAATTTAAGACTGAGCATGTAGTTACAAAGGCAATGGTCCAGTTAACATTTGTGCCAAGTTTGATTAGTATTGAAGTAGTTTTTATAGTTTTATAGCAATTTGAACTTGTAACGGAAGACTTTTCAATGAAATGCCATTTTACACAAAATGCTCATGCAGTAATGGGTTAATCAATGCATACTAATTATCCGCTCCGGCTGCCTCTGGAGCCACAATTTACGGTCATGTGGTTACTTTATTCAAATTGAAAACCAAACCAGGAGATTTGCGATTGTTTTACCTAAGTTAGAGACATGTATTCGTGATTTTATCAAAGTGTTTTCCCACCAAGTACTATATCAAGTCACGTTATATAAACAAAAACGAACAGAAAATAACAAGATTTTAAGTTAAATTTTATTTTAGTATAATAATGTTATTACGTCTGTCAAAGGACTAGTGTAATTACGATTATCAATTGGACACTTACTTCCATGGGCTTGTATGACTTACACTATACATATAAACACTATATATACACTATAGTAGAGTACTGCATATATCATCCCCTTTTTGTATATATTTTATTTTACAGATATGTGAAGATGGGAATTGTGTCCTCCGAAAGTTCCCGTACAATGAGTATCCAGCTTTCTTAAAGGAGAAAAAACACACCATAGCCTGGAAGCCCGTTCTTATACAGGTATATATTACCATCATGTTATATGGTATATACAGGTATATATTACCATCATGTTTTATGATATATACAGGTATATATTACCAATGTGTTACATGGTTTATACAGGTATATATTACCATCATGTTATATGGTATATACAGGTATATGTAACTATCATCAGGTATATGTAACTATCATCTTATATATTAAATATACAGGTATATATATAATTATCGTCTTATATATCATATACATGTATATATTATCTTCAGCTGATATATTATATACAGGTATATATTATCGTCAGCTGATATATTATTTACAGGTTTATATTATTATTATCTTATACATTATACACAATTATATATTATTATCAGCTGATATATTATATACATGTATATATTATCGTCCGCTGATATGTTATACACAAGTACATATTATTATCAACTGATATATTATAAACAGGTATATATTATCGTCAGCTGATATATTATATACAGGTATATATTATCGTCAGCTGATATATTATTTACAGGTTTATATTATTATTATTTTATACATTATACACAAGTATATATTATTATCAGCTGATATATTATATACATGTATATATTATCGTCAGCTGATATATTATATACATGTATATATTATCGTCAGCTGATATATTATACACAAGTACATATTATTATCAGCTGATATATTATATACAGGTATATATTATCGTCAGCTGATATATTATATACAGGTATATATTATCGTCAGCTGATATATTATTTACAGGTTTATATTATTATTATTTTATACATTATACACAAGTATATATTATTATCAGCTGATATATTATATACATGTATATATTATCGTCAGCTGATATATTATATACATGTTTATATTATTATTATCTTATACATTATACACAAGTATATATTATTATCAGCTGATATATTATATACAGGTATATATTATCGTCAGCTGATATATTATATACAGGTATATATTATCGTCAGCTGATATATTATAAACATGTATATATTATCGTCAGCTGATATATTATATACAGGTATATATTATCGTCAGCTGATATATTATATACAGGTATATATTATTATCAGCTGATATATTATATACAGGTATATATTATTATTATCAGCTGATATATTATATACAGGTATATATTATCGTCAGCTGATATATTATTTACAGGTTTATATTATTATTATCTTATACATTATACACAAGTATATATAATTATCAGCTGATATATTATATACATGTATATATTATCGTCAGCTGATATATTATTTACAGGTTTATATTATTATTATCTTATACATTATACACAAGTATATATTATAATCAGCTGATATATTATATACAGGTATATATTATTATTATCAGCTGATATATTATATACAGGTATATATTATCGTCAGCTGATATATTATTTACAGGTTTATATTATTATTATCTTATACATTATACACAAGTATATATAATTATCAGCTGATATATTATATACATGTATATATTGTATCATAGTTTGGGAACCTTTCTGTTGAAAAAGTGTCAGAGTTAAATCGTATAAATATACATGCACAGTGCGGTAACTGGAGTGCAGGTATCAGTTACCCGCACTCCAGATCATGCCCGTTGATTGGCTCATTTTTGCTGGGGTTTACATATTGTGACGGCAGAGAAAGGGAAAGCGGCAGAAATATCATATTCAGATGCTCGATCATTGGTTACTTTTTCCCGGGGTTTAAAATTGTGACAACAGGGAACGTGTTTTTATGTTTGACTATGATACAAAAGAGAAAGAACACCAAAACACTCGGCAATCTGATTTATACTCGGGGGCTACGCCCCCTCGTACAAATCAGATAGCCTCGTGTTTCGGTGCTCTTTCTATTACTTATCGTCAGCTGATATATTATTTACAGGTTTATATTATTATTATCTTATACATTATACACAAGTATATATTATTATCAGCTGATATATTATATACAGGTATATATTATCATCAGCTGATATATTATTTACAGGTTTATATTATTATTATCTTATACATTATACGCAAGTATATATTATTATCAGCTGATATATTATATACATGTTTATATTTTACGCAGCTGATATTTTATATGCATGTTTATATTATCGTCAGCTGATATATTATATACAGGTGTATATTACTATTAACTTATATATTATATACAGTAATGTATTATCTTTATTTTATATATTGTTGGTTTTAACCGTTTAAATTCATATTGCCATCGTGTTTAGATATAAAAATTAGAAACACATTTAACATGACGTTATTTTACATTGTTGGGTACAGTATAGAATTCTTATTAAAGAGTACAGCACTATATTAAATGAGACATTGGTCGAATCTGATATAGCTTTTGCAGCTGAGTACGAGTGCAATAGAGTCAGTAATGTTCTCAATATATAAGGACATCCCTATTTCAAGGCACCATTTTGTGATATTTTGACAGAGCTTTGTTACTTAAATTACAATAAGGATTTGTTACGGATTTTTGGACTCTAAAAAAGAAAACGATGCTAGATGGAGTATGATATACATTTGATATATATATTTTTGGACTCTAAAATGAAAACGAGGCTATGTGGGTGCGATATGTATTTGATATGACCGTTTTGGACTCTGGAATTAAAAACGAGACTAAATTGATATACCTATAGGGTTTTTTATTGGAACATCGCGTGGAGCAGACGGTGAAAGTGCATTGTTTAATTTTATAACGTTTGAAATAATATGCAATATTCCATAGTTAATAAATAAGTTCATATACAACCTGTATCTTTCTTTGCTGTCAAAAATTAAAAGCTGAAAGGTAGAAATTACGTATCAGGGCGAGGTTGACGTAAATTGATATGTAATTACAATGACACGATAGATAGCCGCAATTATATGAGTAAACCACTTATTCTATAACTGTTTTGTTCGGTTGTAATGCAATAAACAAGTAATTTGCATGGTTATGCCTGATAAATTACGCAACGCATGTAATGTAACTGGAGTTTTATTGTTTTGTTTTTTTTGTTGTTGCTTGGTTGGGTAACGTTTACGCCGATTTACTTAGACTGCAAACTGTAGACAGTATAAATGGGGTATAAATTGATAGATAATGTCGTTTTGATAAATGATTCAAATAGAAAGGTTTTATTTGCAAAATGTAAAAGGAGGACTACCGTGATCTCAAGATTATTTTGCAACCCACTCAAATGTTTTTTTTGTGTTGTGCATATTTTGATCATTTGTTGAAGTCCATACATATGTAGTTAAGATATATGTGATGGTATGTTGGTTTTTGTTGCAAAATATTAGTTGAAACGAGCAAAGAAAAATAAAAGTAGAGTTTCCTGATTTAAGGTATTATACGGACATTCATTTTTGCAAAATGATTTACCGTCACATAAATGAGCCGAGCCGCGCCACGACAAAACCAACATAGTGCGTTTGCGACAAGCATGGATCCAGACCAGCCTACGCATCCGCGCAGTCTGATCAGGATCCATGCTGTTCGCTATCGGTTTCTACACTGGTTATAGAGTTTGTAAGCGAACAGCATGGATCCTGATCAGACTGCGCGGATGCGCAGGCTGGTCTGGAGCCATGCTGGTCGCAAACCCACTATTTTGGTTTTGTCATGACGCGGCTCAAATGTTTACTTTAATGCCACGATACCATTACATATGAAAGTGCACACACAGCTGCACCCGAAGTCTTCTGCGTTTATTTACAAATCATAATACATGTATATAAAAGCTGTTCAACAGTTATATAATATATAAACAAACATATTACTATGATCGAAGTTATATGTACGTGTACATATAATAATATATGTTCTGCTCTGTCTGTCAATGTGGCGGTTTATTTTTTGAAGTAAAATAAGACTTTGATTTCGGGAATTAACATCAAAGGGGTTGCGTTACTTTGTCATGCAGGGTTTTTGTGTACAATGTATAAATAATCATGTTAAGTCAAGGCAAATTGACTTAAAGAATATGAAACTATAATTATATCTGAAACAAAAAATTATTGTTTGGATTTTAAAAAAGAATACTTCCAAAAGTGCTTGTATGGAATAAAAATGGCAATGAATTGCCTCAAAGCGAAAGGTCATTGCTAAACGGATAAAACTCTACTTAATATAGCAAAATGATATTTTGTTCCGGAATATTTTATTCTGTTGATATACAATATTCATGTGTATTAAACAACAGAGACTTTCTATGTTACAACTTAGTCGGGAATCAACCATAAAATAATGGAAGAAATATAATTTTACTGTTGATAGTTTTTATAAAAATATCTCGTTAGTTATAGAATTATACCCTTTAAAATTAACAACTTTTCTTTTTCAGATGGCTCTTCAAGAATTTGGCTTTGTTATATGGATGGATTCCGCTGTTTATTTACCAGACGGAAATTTACAACCGGGTATTGATATTGCACGCACCCACGGAATCGCCGCCGGGCACAAGAGGGTGACACACCCAGACATCAACATTGCATTCGAAACCGATAATGCCACGTTCAACAGCCTCGGGGAGAAACCATGTGCATTTCAAACAAGTTTTAAATTCAATGCAGCTTTTATATTCATCAGGCGAAGTTCGTTAACTTATAAGTTTATCATGAGACCCTGGATATCATGCGCTCTAACAGAGACTTGTATCATGTCAGACCGGGAACCAAATTCCAAATGTGTAGATGCGGATAAGTTTGGATACTGCCATAGATTCGACCAATCTATATTCAGTATCATTCTAAATAGATTATATCATACTAAACTAGCTGAGATAGATCTTGGAAACAAGGTGAAATGGACGAAATGTTACAGGAGGGATTCTGTTGTTATATTTAACGAAATGGTGTTTAAAGACAGTGATTCTGATATCGTTCAATGTCCGTTGTAGTTACCCATTGGACATGGATAGGAGTATGTAGCCTAGAATGCTGCATGAATCTATATCATGGTTAAAAATATATGGGGGGTTTGTAGCAAACTGGTTGTAAGAAGGAGTTTTCACCAATTCTACCGGACGATTACACAGCTGTCAAATCTATATTGAACGGGGCACTATCGGAGTATGATATAGGTTTAACGGCTCCTCATCAACAATCATTCTATGACATCTACGTAACCATGGCAACTACGTCCTATGGCTAAATCTATACAAAACAAATTTGTGCAAAAAATCTGTACACATTATTTTCTGAATCAATAAAGATTTCTGTACAAAATGCTTTCAAGACAACATGCAAAACAAGTCAAATAACATCAGTATTGTTGTCAATAAACAATATGAAAAATATGAAATTGATATAAATGTTTGAACCTTAAAATGCAAATGAGACTAGATGGAGAATGGTATGCATTTGATATAGATATTTTGGACTCTGAAATATAAAATTGATGCTATGTAGGATATCATATGCCTTTTATATTAATATATTGGACTCTGAAAATGAAAACGAGGCTATATGTTTGTGATATGCATTTGATATGGGTGTTTGGACTCTTAAAATGGAAACGAGGCTAAAATGATGAAATTTGATCCGATAATGATTTCTATTGGAACAACACGTGTTCTAAACAATTTAAGTTAATTGGTTTTGTTTTATAAGGTGATAAGCATAAAAATACATGTATTCCACAGGGAATGGACTCTTAACCTAACACAAGGAACATAGCTGTAAAGAATGTTATGTTATGTTTCTATTATATATTTGCTGATGTTATTTTCTTAAACTAATTTGTTATGTCTAAGGACAATTGTTGCATACTGGTAACTAAGACCGAAATGGACAATTTTCGTGTTAATTATTGTGTGTTTTACATTACCTTAATCTTATATCATTTGGGTTACATATTTTGATGTAATCTACGGTGTCCGGTCTGCGCCAACTAAAATATCACCTGTTTATGATATTTTGAGCGTAAATTTTTATATTCGCGATAAATTAATATGAGTAATTTCCTGAAATATCACTATATATTATATCTAACGAAATTATAATAATGGCGACAAAATAGATATTTTAACTAAAGCGAAAAGGACACCGTAGAAATCTGCAACTTAGGGGCCAGTTAATGAAGGTATTATTGTATTATTTTATTCATTCCGAAATTTGTATATACGGTATAGTGGGTGTCACTATGTTGTAGTGTTATATAGAATCTTCTTTTGTGGCGGGATTGTACAATTGATTACACTTTTAGATTGTACAAAAATGATTTGCTTTTCGAATTTTCTATGACAATAAAGGGGAAAAATATGGAAATATGCTTTTTTTAGTCAACTCTGTAGTCTGTTAGCCTCTTATGAAATAAAAGCGTAAACATATTTGAATATATTTATAACAAAAGAATCTGAGCAGATTTTTGCAAAGAATAAATACATGGCGCGTATCCTTATTGGTACCCTTGGAAAGTTAATAGCCCAGCTTTTGTATTTGGATATTGAAATACTTTAAACCTTGGATTGACTGTTTCAAACATGAGGAACCCATGTCGCAAATTCAGAAGTGCTGTTTAATGGTTAACGATTTAGACTTGATAGTTGAATCATGTCATCAAAAAAAATTCACGTCTCAGCTCAGTAATCATAATCATTAAACCTTGTGAATTACATCTGATTACGACTGACCAGGCTTTGGAAACAAGGTAAATGTAGAGATAATAGACTAAGTGCTATTCAGCGGGCACCAAAAGGTTCACTGCCTTGATAACACAATAAGAATGTCCC